AATATTATATTTATCATTCTCATTATACATTATAGTTAGAAAACAATGAAAATCCTCATTCTTTATTCAAATTTGCAATGACCATGGGGTGTGTGCACGAGGTGAAGCGACAATCATACCCGTTTGTCAGTAACATCTAGCATATACATAACATGTTCATTATCAATTTGTGAAAAGAAGTATAATCATAACTGAATATATCTATGGCTCACGGAAACTTTAAAAACTATTTTTCACGTATTCTGAGATTCTTCGGATTATTCATAGTAGCACCTTATTAGTTAAAAAATTATTTCATCTGCGAAGTGAGAAACCAAAATCTTTGATCTTATCTGATAACGACCTCGTATGTTTAGCAAATCTACTTTTTTCTCCATTAGAACGTACGGATGGTACTGTTCCATCTCGAATACCTACAGCCATTATAACGAGTTTAGATACATCGGAGTCAGGATAATCCTATGAATAGAACTGTATACAAATCTGGATTATATAAAATCAAACTTGTAGTAATTTAAGAGATTCAGCAAAGTCTGCATTCAGGAGATCTAATCGCTTATGCTCTAACATCGCTAAACAAACATAATGAAGAAGAGAGAACCTATAAAACAATTGGGGATCTGGTCAAGAAAAGTACAGCGGCGAACCTTTTTGGATCCGATAAAAGACTATCCCATATAGTAATTACATCAGGAAGAGAGAACTCTTGGCTTAAAAGTAAGGAAATCCAACGAAACGCGTAAAACTGTTATTAATACGTTGGGAACACAAGATAAACCTAACGTACTTGAGGTTTGATAGATAGATCCTGTACTAAATGTTTGTAAAGAGGAGGATCAAAAGAAGAGACTAAATCATGAAATTCGAGCATAGACGATTCTGAAGAATAACAGTAAAAGGAATCCTTTTACTCAGATTATACCTATACCACAGCTACTGTTATCAAGTGTCTTTATGAAAACATCTTTTATCTCACTCATCAGTTGTTGGAAGCAGAAAAATGCATCAGGCTCAGCAAATTCGGCCCATTCCTGGTCTGAATCTGATGCTAAGCAGTAATAAATTGGCCCTAGCACTTCGTTCATCCCCTAGATTTCGAAGATATTTACGAGGAAATTTGCTTTTGTTCACCTGTACATATTTAACTCCAGGGTTCAATTTGGCGTATATGAAGAGAATCCTTTCCAGGACCTGCCAATGAGTCTCACAACTATCCTGATCCGTCAGACTAGATTTTCTTTTCTGCTTAAATTGTCACTAGCAGAGAAAATGTTATGAAACTAACTGCTGTTTTGTTCTTTGATGGATCGCATTCCTGACTCTCTAAATCTACTCGTGCAACACGCGAGGATAAGCTATACTCATACGAGGACCTGTAAGAATTTAATTTTACTCTTACTATTATAGATATGAATACTTATGAGGGTATTTAGTTCTCAGTTGGAAAAATTGAATTTCGGGCCTCAGTCTTCTAACGTCCTTGTCGATTTGTGATAAAATAAGGTTGTCTTCAAAAAAATCAGCCCAGGTACTTCCTGTATTCTCTGAAAGAGGCTAAAACGGTTTCGATTAATTAAATTTCAAATTTCATCAAGATACATGATCATCTTTAGGTGCTACGGCTCCAGGTTGAACAATCATCTGATCGACTAACGAGTCATAATTATCTCTTTGTAACTAAATTGAAATTCTGAACTGTTTCAAAAACTGTGATACCGTTAAAAACTCTTTCCAAACACTCCTCTCAGATGGCAAGTAGTTGAGCAACAGTCTCCATGCAAGAGGACGTAAAGGTTCGGGAATCCCTGGAAATATGGGACTAGATGAAATTAATGTTGACAAACCATATAAACATCCCTGTCGTAACAAATTCATGTCAATAACTTTATTTTCTATAAGTAAAACTTTTTCAATGGTGGCCAAACTGTAAGAAAACATTAACGAGAGAGCCATATGGGCAAACTTGCCGTTCTAAATATCTAGCGCTCATTGTTGTCAACTTTGTAAATTATTTCTTCTGTTAAATATTAGTAGTTCATTATCTACAGAAACTTTCTGAAATACGTTGGTAAAGAAAATTACAAGAATGAGGAAGGTACAGTGATATAACACGAACAAACTAAGAGATGAACTCTCATTTCAAATTTTATTAAACGATCATTCGCTCGGCGATTGAAGGAGAACGACAGGCAATTATTAGTGAGAGGGATTGTATAAACAGTGGATAAACAATGGCATAAAATGGAAAGAAGTATAAATAAAACCGACTGGATTCATCCTTATCACATAAGATTAAAGTTATATAAATAGCATCCGTAAAAACAGAAATACATAAAATGCACATAGTAACTTAAGACCAGAATTTAAATGACAGAATATACATTAGATATAAAGCTTAGGTAAAAAATAATGGAACAAATTCTCGGGATAGATGAAACAAACCAGTGCCCACTACATCCAAATCAATCCTCATCATTGAAACCTTAACCAACTCATTTAACTAATATCAAGAAGGCAGTCTTACTTGTGATGATATAGTTCCATTGAGGGATAACGCTGGAAGAATCAAAGCTATCCGTGGACGGGAAGTTTCATTTCTTGTAATAGCAGGTAACAAAAAGTAATCCTATCAAATACCCTGTTTCAAAACGTGAATTCTAGAAATACCAAACCTTCATTGTAACTACATATAGGGTATCCGGACGATGCTGTATTGAAGCTGCCAACTTTTCATACTGCTCTCTCGAGGGTGAATGCTCTTGTAGCTGCTGTTTCTCCATCTTGATGAGTTTTTTCGCTTTGTCTCGTTTATCTCTTCAATAGCAACTAATGATCACTACAGACTACTGAATTTAACCTCAAGGTATAGCTAGATTGGCTGATCATATCCAGGTGCTTCCATGCCCTATCACGGATCGCTGTTTGACGTGCTTGTTCTTTCTTTTCAGACACCGTTCTAAACAAAAAATAATTTTTATCAGCTCCAATCTATTCCAACCTAGTTGGCTGATTTATTTCAGTCACATTAACTCTTTCGACGACGAGAGAGGCAGGCCATGACTTTGGGCCATTTCGAAGTAAAACTCTGAAACAAGCACTTTAGAATATGAAAAAAAATAAAAGAAACATACCTTTTTCCTTTTTTAAGATTTAAATCCATTTGTTCATGTCTATCAACCCAATTATAGAGATCAGTGTTCAATCTTAATAACAAAGAATGAGAAAAACTAAATGTTCAAGATAGCACCTGATCGTTTCTGTCTTGTTAAGCCATGGTTTCTTAAAGCCACAAGAAATTGTTTCATTCTGTGATTTGGAATCAACTATTGGATCCTATTTAACAAATTTAAATTGTAATAAAACCGAACACTCACGTCATATTTGAGAACTTTTCCATGACTTATATGGTGAGAAACTGTAGACTCGGCGTTGGTAAAACTAGGGCGGGAAGATCTGAAATGCGGATGTTCAAAACTGCCAAACACAGATTTTTTTACTTTTGGAGATCAATAGGAGAAACAGAAACCATCATGAATAAAGCCATCATACACACTCCAGCAAAAGCAGCTCTTTTTCTGTTTTGAGGTATTTTCCAAGATCGAGAGCCCTACAAGAGTAGCGTTGCGATTGGTAGAGCATAATATCAATTACTTGGGTCTCGGTGAAAGAGGAAAGACGCGACTTCAGTTCCAAGTTTTCACTTTTCAATGTTTCATTTTCAGCTTCCAACTGAGCAACTTTTGCCTTCATTTCATCAATTTCCTTAACATTTAACCTGAACAGTAAACCAATTTCTTTACTAACGGTTCTTTTCCTTTGTCGAGATGCTTGTGCCGCAGCTCTGTTTTTGATTCTACGATCTTCTTGTCTTTTTTGCCAATCCTTGCGAAGCATCATTAACAGATTTTTTATTATAGATAACTTACATCTACTTCATCGTACTGAGTGAACTTCACCAAAGCAGGAGCTATCTGAATGTTAGGAACCGAAACTGAAGTACCTACAGCGGTTGTAGCTCTAACAGGCGCTGTTGTTGCGACTGCCGATGGGTTAGGGCTCGAAGTCGCAACTGAAGAAGGTAAAGGGTGAGTTCGTAAAGACTGATAGTTTCGAATTTGCTAAAAAAAATTGTTTGTACTGTCACTTTAATTGTTTTTACCAAGCCGTTGTTGGAGCTGACGAAAACTTTTGGTTTCGGAGGAGCGGGAGCAACCTTCATTGGTGCGCGAGTTCTGAACTTGAAAGGTTCTTTTTCTGCCTGGAAACAACGATTACAAATAAAATAAAGTTTTTATTTACCCCAGGTTCTGGAACATAATAAACATATTTTGTTCTTGCGTTAAGAGAAGCCTAAAAAGAAGACGAATGAACTGAAAACTTTAAAATGAACTAACGTTTGGCTGGACATCTCGATGATTAAGAGTATTTGACTGTATAGTGCTTGTTGGATAGTCCACAGCAAAGCCCTACAAAAAATTATAAAAAATATAGGATATTATGAAAACAAACATCAAATGAAGACGATTCAATATCCTGTTGTTCAACAATTATTTCATTAACAGGTTCGTTTGAAAACGTCCATGGCGATTGGTCATACAATGACTGCAATAGATATACATGCGCGTGATTAGAAAGATACGACTCACTTCACTGCCGCTTGGACTATCTTTTCCTGAATCACAGGAATTTGAAGATGAGCAATCATTGAACTCAAGATTGAAAAGATCCATAGGGTTAGATGAAGCTTTGTAATTATCCTTATCTGTATCGGAACCAGAGTTATAAGCCGAAATCTTCAAAATGTATATAAGAGAACGCACAACCATTTGAACTCACTGTGGCATTTGTTAATGAGCTCAAACCTTCTCCAATTAAATCTATATGGTCCGAAACAGGCAGTAGCATTTGTGTATCCAGAGAAAATAAATCGTCATAAGCAGAATCTCCATGTTCTGCTTGATAGAAGATGCGATCAGCATTATGATGATCACTGTTGAACAAAGAGTCAAACTCTTTTTCGCATTCCCGCATACTTCAATACTTCATTAGTTTCAATTGATTCAAGAATCTGAACATAGAAAACATGAAATAAAGAATAATGAAAAAACTAGTTTAGGAGCATTTGTATAAGCTGTAGGTCAAAATGCACAGAAATCAAATAAAAGTCGCGACAAGCACCGACCGGCATGAAGAAGTAAATAAGCGAGTCGTTCACAAACGTCAGGATAGTATTATCTTGTCTCTGCGCTAAGGAAAATGTTTCTTACATATAGCCGTTTTCTACTATACTCTTCATATAGTATTCATGTGCGTTGTAATTGAAACTAGAAATCACACTAATTGCAAGAGGAGCCACGCTCAACTAGAGGGATGAAAAGAACATATGTCGAATATCAAGCGTCAAGAAGAAAGGTCACTCGGCTTTCACACTCGCCGCATAAAAAATGGAGACCTATAAGCATAGGCCATCCAATTATGTTTGGAATAAAGGTGAAATTCGGAACTTTTCACAAACCTAGAAGAGCTGGAAGATAATCAACTGTTGATAACAGCTTTGGCAAAAAGAAAAAATGGAAAAAATATTATTCATGATAAAGCATAACCATAACCATAGCAAAGTTGAATTAAATCGAAAAACGTTATGGAGAGATTGAAACCCATATTGACGAACCGAATACAAAATATATTTTATTTGACCTTTGTTAAGGTTATTATGGCTCTGAAAAATGATTATGGCACAAGAGGTTAATATGCTTAAATAAGAATTGAGTGCCGAGAACAACAAGTGAAAAGGGTAATAATAAGAAGGGTGAGAGTAGGAATGTAAAAGACTAGACAATGTAAGCCATTGAATTGTTAAGCGTGAACTCCACCAATAGAATCTAATATATGAATTGCAGTTTTTGGCATGTTACTCTTCTTCTCTTCCCCTGCCGATTTTCGCAACTGTAAAACGCACAAGATGAGAATTCTAGTTTTTATCGACTTACTGATTCTCCGAAGAAGATTTGTAACCTTTCATGCATAGCGTCAAAAGATGACACTAAAACGTCGTGGTACGTCTGTTGATCAGCTCCTACAACATTCTGATTAGCATTCAGAGCTGATTCACAAGATGACATCAGTGTTCTGAAACAGAGGGTTATTAGGAAATTTAAAATATTCTGTGATTAACCTGAATGCTTCTTTGAGTTCATTAATCGCTGTGTCACCGTATCTTTGTTTTTCTTCTAGTTGCGTGAAAGCCTCCGCATATGCAAGAGGTCCCGCATTTACCTTAAAGCGACTTATTAACTTATTTGAACAGCAATTAGCTCTTACCGTGGGCATGACAGCTCCTTGCAAAAGAAGCTGAAGGCCTTTCACATCTAAAGCTCGACCTTCGGCTGGTCCATCTAACGTAGATCGAATTTGATCAGCTTTAACGAGTAGCTTCTGACATGCGAAATTCAAAGGTGTAAAACGTTCCACACCCTTAGAGATTACACGTAACCGCCTTCTGCTTGCGGGAAAGAAGCCAGCTACTGCAAGTAGGTATAAGACTTTAGTTTTTACTGTATCATTCAGAACAACCTTCTAAGGACACTCGCTTCAAAGCCTGCTTGGTTATATGTGGTTGTTTCTCCTTTTTGTCACCTTCAACAATGGGACATTCATAAACGAACTTGCTGAACCGTATAACGTTTTGCTCATAAAACAGAAAAAAATACTTAATATTAGTATGCGACCAAAAATCCTTCGTTTTCAGTCCCTCAGTTATAAGGGGCTCGACATGAGTAACTTGAACATAAGCTATGTCAGGATCAACTTTCGACATATCAAGCTAAAAATCATGTAACATACTATTTCTGTTGACTCAGATAGTTTCACCTCGTTCTCTGGTTCAACTTGAACCTTTTCGAGACCCAAAACCAATCTACAGTACTCGTTGAAACGTAAGGATACTTCCGCAAGAGAAGTAAGTCCAGCTTCACGATAAATCCATTCGGTATCATGGTCTGATCTGCAAGAGAATGGGATGGAGAGTAAAAGAGAAAAACTCTCTTACTCGAACTGACGTTGTCCATAGAAACGGACCCTAAAATATGAACCAAGATGGCGTTTGCCGCTTGTTTTAACTTCAGCAGCTCGACTATATATTTGTTGTAGCTCTGCATAAACGCTTACCAAGGCCTACAAAGTTCAAATTGAAACTCAAATGAATACACTCTAAATACATTGAAGTTATTGCGTTTTTCGAAAATCGGAACTAAAACACGATAAAGCGGACCGATGGCTTCATAACGCTCTGCGAGAGTTAATGCTTGAGCTGTTTTCTCGATTTTCGATGCAAGATTCTCCTGAATATGTATGTTGAATCAGTCCACTCTTTATGAATGATACCACAGTGAAGCCTGCAGATTGAACATTCCTCTCTTTCTCCCGAGACTTCTCAGTCTCTGCAACTTCAACACTAATCCAATTGAAAAGATTCCAGTCAAAATCAATTTCACCTGAGAATAATTTGTAAAAATATGGAAGACAGTAGATTACCAGAATCCATTAGCTCTTTGGCCATAATAGCCACAGAATGCGCGTGACAGACTGCAGCCTCAGAAAACCAACGATCTTTAACAGTAATCAGATGAATATACATTCAAAAAAGAATACCTGCGGTATGCGCTTCCGCTAATGTGTCAAACCAAGCACTGCGTAGGGCTGCTGAGCCTCTATAACTGTCAGCTAACTGAATGTGAAGATCAGCCAAACGAATCTAGAAAGAAAAAAAATTAATGACACAAGACGTTGCATGTAACTTGGTCGTTAGAAGCATCTTTCAAAGCAACAGTGGCAGTCATCACACCTCTCAGTTGTTTAATTAGATCCTTAAACAAATTTATATTAAATTGGAATATAAGGAAAAAAATTACAAAAACGGCTTTTTCGAATACTGTTATCTTTCTTGAGTCGACGCTAACTAAACTTTCGAGGGCCGTTAATCCTTTTTCAAAACGACCACTCGAGGAAAGACTTGTTTTGGCTCCAAGTAATCGAGCTAATGCTACACCGGTCTGTGCGCCTGGACGTCCAAGACGTTCTGCAGCAGTCAAGGGACGAACTTCGGTAGCTTGAGAATGTGGAAGAACACTCAAAGCCATTGCTTGATTTGCTTAAAAAACATTCATCAATAGAGTTAGAGGGAATTTATTAACCTATTTGAACTTGTGCTGTTTCATAACCATTCCTCAAAATTAACTGAAGAAGAGCTGCAGCAGCGCTCTGAATAGTTGATAACCGGCTTGCCATTTGAAGCAGAACTCGTTCGATCAAGCTGGATAACGCATCCAATGAACTCCCTTCGAACAAACGAGATCGAAACTATATTAAATTTAAGAAAAAAGTACTCAATGTTTCATACTTGGTTAACGAAAAGCGCAATTGCAGCTATTGCATGTAATCGTACTGACTCCGGCCAATGGTCCTCCAGGAGAGCCAAGTGCATCGAGAGAAGATTACAAAACAACTCTTCCTCATGAGGAAAACTCTTATTTTTGCGAGACTGAAAAAATGATGATCATCCAGTTTCGCTAGCTAGTTTTACCGCTAACTGCTGTGAGAGACTCTGAACAGCATCAAGGACTATGAGAGCTGATTCTTGGCATAAATTCAACAACTGCAACACACCGAAAGGAAGTGGGGCTGAATTTTCTTCTTCTATTCGAACTTAACATAATTTTGTATGTTTCAAACAGGAAGAATCAAACTACTTTGATCTGATACAGAGCTTCCGTTGAGATCGACACTAGGCAATCGAGATGAGGATGGAGGAAGCAAATGAATCGTTTTTGAAGTGCAACGGATACTGTAAGAATGTATACGCGGGTCAATGGAATGCAATGATTAATAAACTCTCTGCAGGTGGATTCCAAGGCTTCCTCTTTCCCTCTATATTGGAAAACTGTTAGAGCTATTCGCAATAATGCAATAATTTGTTGAGCCCTGGCAGCCTCATTATCAGACCATACAGCACCGAGAATTCTTTTTGGTAATCGATAGATCACCCAAAGAACACAAATAAGAATATCTTGAACTTCCTCCTGAAACAGCTCTGATAGCATCAATAAATAAATTTCTCTATCTAACTTGATCTAACTTTTCAGCTAGTGGTGTTGTTGGACAGTTGAAAGCTCCTGTTGCTGTGCGGAAAGGTTCAGTCATCTGTAACGTTTTCCTGTCTAGTGATCTCCATTTATTAGTAGCTCGAAGACCTGTGATGAACATGAGTAAAAAAAAACCGAAATTCTCACCAGTCGTAGAAGGTTCTGGAGTTTCAGCGATAGCAGCTTGCAGTTCATGTATGTTGTCTATGGCAAAACGCAAGAGCGGAATATACAAGGTTGCTATTCGTCTTTGGATATTCTTAACTCAAGGTTTTTCAATATTACATACATATAACTATACCATATCAGAGTAGCGTTTATCGTATGTATGCTTTGCAAGTAAGTTTCGTAGAATGATTATTGGTTTTTTTCGATGCTCGCGAGGTTCGCGTAAACAAGCATGAAGCTCCTGAAAATATGAAAAGTAAGAAAACTTCACCTAGAACTAAGTAGCCTGAAAAAGCAATCCAACAGGGAAATGACGGGATGAATAGTTTTTGCTCAGCCACCATTCATCAGCACAACAAGAATCTATTGGAAAAAAAGTATAAGAACAAATGTGAAAAGGCTCACATCTATCGCTCTCACTCGCCTCAGCTAATGACGGTGATTGGAATACCTGATGGAAAAAGCGTGAAAGAAATCCTGTACCATTGGCTAGAAAGAGAAAATAGACAAGTAGTAAGGTACATGAACACCTGTATTAGTGACAGATGTATTTTCTGATTGTATTCCCTGGTAATGCATTCTCTGAATTTGATTTTTTCCATCCAAGAGAACAGGCAGACATAATGGAAGCCAGTGTTCGTGCTGAGTGAGGATGGTGAGGAAATCGTTTTTGTACTCTCGTAAGATCTTTAACGCAATTGTTAATAGAAAAAAAGTTCGGCGAAATACTTTCGACTCGTGATCATCTAAGCGTTGCACAGCGAAATGAAACCATTTAAACACAATCCCACGATCTAAGAAACTCAAAGAGCACTAAAATTCTCATTTTAACCTTCGAACCTCTGAAGTAAACTCACCCTCATGAAATAAGCCACAGCTGTGTTCGCTGATCGACATTCTTCTGGGATCTCTTTATGTTTCACAATGATATGAGGAATAACAACTTCGAACAGCGAGGTCATTTGTTCCATCAAATCTGACGAAAAGCGGTCTCTTCGCGTTGTCTGAGCAAAGTCTTTTTAGTAGTATTACATAAGTGCATACTCTACCTTATAAAGAGACTTATGAACAACAACTTGAGCGATGCTCTTTATACAGACGTCGAAGAAAAACCATAACTGCCTGAATATAGCTGCCAATTCATCTAGGTTTCCTTGGACTTGCCGAAGCTAAAATGTTGAGCGTACTTAGATAATCAAGTTGAAGCCAAACCAAATCCGGAAGATATTTACATATAGCAATATGGGTAGGTTCCTCATTTTCTTTTTCATCAGTTGTCGAAAAATGCAATCTTACAAAGTTACGCAGTAAATTTATACGATCTGATGAGGTTCGATCACATATTGATACCAGTGCGCTGAATAGGATCTTTTGTTTGATATCGAATCGGGTAGTTACCTTAAGGTACTTATTGCCAGCTGGTCAGTGGGTGCTTTAGACAAAAGAGACAATAGTCTCGCTAATATTATGTGAAGAAAAGGCAACAACTTTTCGATCGGAACATCACACAGCCCCTGAAAGTAAGATTGAAACAATTTTGACATTAGAACTTGAATTTATTCGTTAGTATTGAAACGCAGACTGCAAACATAGTTAGTTGAGACCAAGTTTAGGATACCCACCTGAGTTCGTTTAACTAAATCAAAAACGCAAGGATCATTATCTTCAACAGATGAAGAACGCGCGAGAGGAGAGCATGAACGAGCTGGATCAGAACCACCAGAAGGAGATGAAGATTTAGATACACGAGACTGAACATAGGCAATAGACAAACATAATGTTAACATATAATGCATCAAAAAACAACAAACCTGCGATAAATCAGCTGCATCTCCAGAGACCTTTTTGCTGTCTAGTCTTTGGCAAGCCTTAAATAATTAATAACTCTAAATTATATTCGTAGTTATACTTGAAAAAAGGAGTGCAGCTTGACTTCAGTAGTAAAGGCGGAAGACACCATACGTAATCGGAAACGAAAAAGAGGCTTTTGATCTACCCATCGAACATCAGCTATCTCATCCTTCAGAGAATGATTAGGAATGGCTGGCAAAATGCACAGATATACTCACTCCTTTTCCTAGCCCTAGAGGCTTGCTACGTAGATAGTTCGGTGGTAAATCAACAGCTACAGGTAGAGCAAACTCTTGTTCATCGTTTTCCAGCACAAGCCTATCTTTTCGCCAAACAAGAGGGAGCCAGGAATAACCAACAGGAATTTCAGTAGACTTATAATACAGCTCCAAATTACATTTCATAGACAATATACCTCTGGTGATTTTGCCGATGTTTGTCCCGCTACAGACACATGAAAGAACGAGAACAAGAGATGATCATGCTGAGTGAAATGTAGAGGTAAACGTAATTTCAATTCATCCCCTGACAAATACATGGGTTGAAATATTGTTGAAAATTATACCAAAAGACGGATTTTGCTGATGATGTTGTACACCACATGTCATGGAAGACACATAAGGCCCGCGATTCGATAGCCTATCCATTAAACACTGAAAAGAGTAAAAGCTTGAAGAGCGATTCTCACATTATGTTACCGCTGATTCTTTAGGAGTGTCTCCACCTATGAAGCGGACAGTGCATGCAATATTCCTGGCTTTAGAGAAGATTTTTTGAGCATCGTATCTATGAAACGAAATTCGAAGCAAGTATGTAATACAGAACTCACTTTAGACTCAGAGGATAAATATACAAAAGGTTAACAAGTTCACAATGAGGATCCGCAGCAATATCACCAAAAGATTGAAGCTCAAACATAGGGGGTACAGGACTATCTTTTGGACTTGTCCAAGGACGTAATGGGAACCAAGAAGGGTTTAAACGGACTGGAGAACGGTTTCACGAAAATTCAGAAAAAAGAAAACTTACATGGTATTTCACTCAAGTTAGACGAAAGATCAATTTTCAAAGTAAGAGTACCATTCGGTATCGCAAGTTTCCCTGCTTTTTCAAATCTTAAAGAGAACAATAATACGAACATTGAAAGCAACATACTTGATGAAATCATTCAAATGCTTATATACATCAGTTTCTACAAACTTATTGTTTTCGCATCTATAAAGCTGGATACTATTAAAATCTTTTGAAGAGTTTTCTCCTCTCAGTTCGGGAAACACCGGTCTGAAAGTTTAAATGTTGATATGCCGTGTCCACACGGTCAGGTTAAAACCTTGCTCCCCAAGCGAAACGTTGCCTATATCCTGATAACCGTAGAGTTGAAGAATGAATCACCTTTTGCAGCTTGTTTACCGCTTTCGGATCCACTGAAGACCTGGAAATTGAAGGAAGGTCAGTTTCATACAGAAATCAACGCATATAGGGTTTACTTCATATAGAGCTCCCCAACAGTATCTGCAGACAACATTCGATCAACTTTGCAAACTACCCAAATGTCTTTATTAGGTTTCGCTACAGTGCACAGCATCTGAATAAGAATTGTAGATGAAAATTTTAAATTGATAATAACCTGATTGGCAAGTTTGCTACACAATAAAGACTTTGAAACTCCATTTATTTCCGTAGTGTCCGAAGCAGTAACTGAATCTTCCCCGCTGAAGTCTATATGAAACTCTTCAGAGATTCGTCGCGAAGAGTTTGCATCGAATAAGAACATTGAAACAAAAAAGGGCTCTATCTGGAAAAGTATATTGTGAATCAACTTATATATCTTGGCAACCTGTTGCAACACATTATTTCCTGTTGGGAGCTTGAGTTCTAATTTTTTGAACTCAATCATGAAACGAATAGCATTTCCGATATTAGTAAGGGTTGATCTCCTTCGCCTTGATGTTTTCAGCGTAGGATTGGCTGTTGAAGTTCCTCTACCACGAGATAACAAACAGGACTGTTCGCCTTTAGGCTCCATCAGCGGCTGAAAAAAAAGCAACATTATACTTATAACATAATAAAATTTCCTATCTCACCCCAAGTCGGTAATAAACGGAAAATAGATTTCTTCGGTCAACTATGGGAGGTTGAAGAGCTCTCGCAGCTGAGTTACGGCCGCGCCATATATTGACCTCTTTAGCTGAAAAGTAGCGAATTCAGAAAATAAACGGATTCACACAAACATCCAGCACTATCTTCACTTCCTATGCTTTCAGTATCTATATTAGAATCGTTCAAACTCTTTCCAGACTTGTCAAGCTGCTCAGAGCAAGAAGACATAGTGTCACCTAATAAAAAACAGTGAAAAATGGGCTGCTCAATCAAACTAACCTTTATTAGCCAAAGCGATTGCACGGTTCAAATGTAACAACCAAGAAGAAAGCTCGTCAGAATCATCGCTAGCAATTATAAGGGGTTTCTGCTCATTCTTCTCATTTCCGTCTGGACATGGTTCGATCTTCGAAGAAAATGAGTAATAAAAACAATTAAAAAAGATAGTACTTGTAGAACAGATTTTCCCTTTTTCATTGATTTCAGCTGCGCAGAGTTCACTTTCATAGCGGCTTGTTTAGGGGACTCATTCGCAGTTTTTCTTGTCTCTATCACTATATCTCCTCCGGGTTCCCTACGTAGAACGCAATACCTTTTTTTTATAGACTAATAATGAAGAAATTAAGAAATTGATAAAGAGATGTGGAGCAGTACCTTCAAATTGTCTAACAGGCTTGACTCGTTTTTAACAATCATAACATATCCTTCCTTAACAACATCTGTGAGATAAAAGCCTTCCATTGCCTGAACTGTTATTTCAAAAACAATGCAAAAAAATAATACACACAGCTCTTTCTTCTTCCAAAGCCATATCAGATTCGAACACCAAACTTGATAAAGAAACTTCATTTTCAATAGACGATCTAGAGCAAACTTAAATTCATCAGAAAAAATCAGCAAAATTCACTCACCCTAATATCATTTTGTTATAATCTCCTACAAACTTATTATAATTAAACGTTATTGTTTTATAAGGCGAAGTGTACAACTTAACAGCTTCTTTCGTGAGTAGCCATTTAGCATTTGAAGCATCCTCAGGCGAAATAGGCGATATTACAGTAGATTGATCAGGTTCTACTAGTGTTTCCTATAGTAAAGTAATTCCTATTTTCTTGTCTCCTTTTTCGACATACCTGCACATCATCACGAGGAAAAAGCAAAATTTCTCGTTGTGGATCATTCTCCAGTTGAATTGTGCGTTCAGATACAAACTTCTCATAATCTAATGGTTCTGATATCGGTGATGTTCTCTGCAGTCATACGGTATTGATGACAACATAATTAGAAACATCGGTTACCGTTGGGTTCTGCGTAGAAATTGCGTTTCGAACAGCTTCTCTAGCTTCACGAGCAACACCAGGTTTTCCGACAGCAGCAGTGAATCTGTAAAACTAATATAACAAGAGTTCGTTCCATTAGCAAACCTATGGCTGGTGCGTTTCAAAGATAGAATAGGCATATATACATCAAAAAGTGCGCTTTATATCAAACTATGTTTTGTGAAATAGAATAAGCGAAAGGGACGCGTAGTTGAAATGAAAAATCAAAACCACATGCACATAATAGATATATGACGCACTATTGAAGCATTTCAATAAAGCTACTCACTTTCTCAGCTGAGAGGAATTTGTTCTAATTGATGTGATGCTTTCAGGTACAAGAGTGGAAGCATTACTGGAGTTACCCGAAACGATCGAACGACGATCGTCCGCTGTTGTGCTTCCTCTAGACGAGACAAACGCTCGCATGTGTTTTAGATTGAGCTTATAGAATACACATTAATCTGAAAATTGTCAAATATAGTACTAACTTTCAACAGCCAAATATGAAAAAATCATATTCAATCTTCTAGCTCAGAGAGAAACAAATCATTTCAAATACAATCATCTTGAACTACATAGCTGAGAAATACTCGATAATAGTGCAGGAACATGCCTCAACTTTCTAAATAAGTTTCTGCACGTTGTCGTGTGAGCGAAAATAGTCTCAAGCCATCGTTATGCCCCTCTACCCTCTCTTTCATTCTCTCTGTTTTTAGTCTCTGGGGGGAGCATAAGCTTTGTATGAATAATTAATTAATCGTATTGAACCTAAAGAAATTACTCGAAAAAAGTGTAATGACTCTTAATCAAAAGAACTTTATTTCTTATAAAGGGCGTTTCTGGCTAAAACAGCTTTTGAACACTCTTTTTAACAAAAAAAAACCTGGAACGTCCACTCTCTTCGATTTCAAATAAAAAAATGACGTAGCGTCCATGTCACTGTACGCCCTTAGTTCAATTTGAATGATCTATGCCAATAATATATTTCTAATCACTCTTAAGAATTGACTTGAAGTATTAGAACTTTTTCATTTTATGATAATTTGAGAGGAAGACATGTCCCAAGGATATGTTAGACAATGTGTTTTTTTCAATGGACTTCCGGGATCCTGTCGTTACAATGAACGTTGTGCTTTTTCACATGATCTCACCATTCACATCAACTCGTGAGCTTTATTTATTTGGTTGTCCTCATCAATTTTTTTTTTAGAAAATTCAAATATGTAGCGCCAAACATTAGTCACACAAGAACAGTTGTTTCGGGAACTGATCCGAAAATAATTAAGGAACAGACAACTACTGAGCAATACCCGTATGTATCGTTTTCGTTAGCTTTCTTGTTTGAGCTATTTTTAATTTTTTTTACTAGAAATAGTGATTTAGCGAGCAGACAGAACAGAAAGAAGTGAAAACGATGTATGACACATACAGCACAGGCTCAGAACTGCAACCTTTAGACAGAGAAGCATACTTGTCCAAGAAGTTCACATTGGGTCGTATTCCCTTTTTACCGCCAACTTCTGATCTCGCTTGAAAGTTCAATTCCTTGTTTTATATCATTTATTAAAGATAAAAATCATTCAATTGTGTCATATTCGTGTAATTTCACAACTTCTAAGTTTTCCGCTAATGATTGTACAGCCATATTCACAGCTTCATCTCTGAGATCAGCATATAGTGATGAAGATCTGTAAATGAGTTCTGAGAAAGAAAAAACTAAGCGTTTTTACAAATATCTTTCACCGAAACTAGGCAGTGCTGTTACAATGATTTCATCTCTATATTCCTCTCGCGCAGCGAGTTGTAAAGCAGCACATACATTTGCACCAGAAGAAATTCCTGTAATCTCGTTTCTGAAAGTAAGCCGAAAGATCCAAACCACAAAGTAATCCCTCCTCGTAGGCGAGTCGTTTGGCCATGGTGATAGCTTCTTCAGAACTCACTCCAATCGCTTCATCAATCAAATTTAAATCTAGGATTGAAGGAATAAACCCAGCTCCAAGCCCTATAAAATTTTTCTCATGGGAGTCAAATGTGCAGATCAACCTTGAATCTTGTGGGACCCAGCTTGTCCCCCCACTAACACGCGGCTCTCTTCAGGCTCAACAGCAATCATTTTTACACTTGGATTTTTTTCTTTCAAGTACTTTGCTACTCCTGTAAGTGTTCCTCCAGTACCAATTCCAAAAACACAAGCTTTAACCTGAGCAGAAGATAAAAAAACAATAAATTATTTGTCGAACTTTGCCTTGTGTTTGATCCCAAATTTCGGGACCCGTTGTTCGGTAATGAATTTCAGGGTTTGCAAGATTATCAAACTGAAACAATGTAAAGAAGTTAAGAACGATATGTATGCACTTACCTGAGCTAAAATTATGCTATTAGGAACACTCTGTTGCAGCTCGTAGGCTCGTTCTATAGCTCCCTTCATTCCTTTGGCTGGATCAGTCAAAATTACCTCAGCTCCGTAAGCTTTCAGTAGAACCCTCTACATCAATCATATACATATATTAATTGGAAGGAGTTCTTTGACTACCCTCTCCACACTCATACTAGCGGGCATAGTTATGATCAATTTGTAGCCCTTGACGGCAGCCACTACAGCCAACGCTATTCCCGTATTACCAGATGTTGGTTCTATTAGAGTACTTACATCAGGTTTTATCTAAAACTTGTTAATACATTTTTCAGGAAGTATGAAAGAAATCGGTACCCTTCCTTCAGCTTCAGCCTGAGCAACCATTGCATATCCTATTCGATCTTTAACCGAACACCCAGGTGAGTAAAACTCTACTTTACAAGCTGCATAGCATAATGTATGAAAAAAGGAATTGATGATGCTTATCTTACCTACTTTTCCAGGTAATCCTTCAGTAAGCTTGTTTATGTAAACCATCGGAGTGTTACCAATGAGAGCCGAAGCATCTGGGGCAATTGAATTACGTGGATCCATCATATTCTAAGGAAATGGCCAATAAATCTCAATGTAAACTAAGAGTTTAGGTGCTTAAAGTGAAGTTCGAGAGAAAAAAAGGTGAAAATAAGTGCAAAAAGACCGAGCGAGAGAGATAGAAATAAAAGACGCGAGTAAGCAATGGTTCACACTATGTTTCATTATAAAAAAATCAACAGAAACTTTGACAGATTAGAAAAAATATATTGAAGCTTCGTGAACCTGCGTCGTAAACAGGTGTTACGAGATATCTCGAGATATCTGCCCTATTGACAAAAGTGTTGTCAGCAGAGCATTGGAACGAAAAAATAGCCAACAAGTCAGCTCAGTATAAGCTCAATTGCTTCCAATTTTCTAAGCTTTGATTTGAACCCTTATATGTAAACTTATCGAGCAAGACTTATAAAACAAATTACGCCTAAGTAATTCAGCAAAAACCTGAACAGGTTTTATGAGAACAACTACCGGAAATCGTAGAAAAAGTACGGGCGCCGGCCATTTTAATGCGTGAAATGCTAGGTGATAACATATTAGCCGTAAGAATATTCAAAGATGGTGAGAATAACGATCATAACGGTTTGTATGCATTTTTATAATGAACAGACTTATTTGTGATGTTTGATTTTATGAATCGGCACGTACGCCTCTTGTCAAAGTTATCAATTCTACACGTACGCAGGTATAAGGATGAGAATGATCAAGACGGATTTTTAAAGTATGCTTTCCTAATATAGATAGTTCATTAGTTAGCTGTGTTAGATTACTAACTTTCACTGAAAACGGTGTTTTGCAATGTCATCTAGAGAAGCAGCGCAGATGAATCTAGACTTCAGTCACCCGTATTAAAACAAGCTCAAGGTGTCGAAGCGGTTGCATATTTGAAATATTTCTGAAGCTTCAGTTATAATTTTTTCAAGAAATTATTGAATGTGTACTACTGCTAAAACTGCTTTATAAATAGAACAAGAAATTAGTGATCATTAAAACTGATGAAGAACAAATCAACTGAATGAAGTTTTCAGTGTCTACAAGTATAAAGTTGATAATAAAGTTCAAAATTTTACGAAAAAGTTAGAGCAAACTGTACTGAACTCATTGAGTTTGAATAGGCTGGTGTTATAACTGTTGATATTCGATTAATACGAAAAAGGAACACACTTCATTTGCTGTAGTTTTACAACTTCGAAAGGAACAACACAGACCCGGTCGATGTTTCTTGTTAGAATTCTTCTGTTCATGGCAATTGTTAAAGTCAGACAATCCTAAATGGAAAATTATTGATTTTCATTTATCAACATCACTTACTTCAAGTACTGTTTATCATTATTCCGCTGAAGAGAGTTAAGCTTCATTTACAGAGCGTAATGTCGAGTTAAAAACGGTTTCTTTTATATATTTCCAAAGCTTTTCCAATGTAACCAGAAATTGGAAACAAACGTGACACTTCACGTGACCCGCTTAGTAGACGTCACTTCTAGTTTTCGACACGTACAGAGCGGTTGTTATATTTCCAAAAGGGACCAATGCAGGGCAAGAAAAGTTGGGAAAATTATTCTAGAGGCAGAGTTTTGTCTCAAAATTCGAAAGCAATTGATTGCTCAGACATTTTATATAAACCAGTAACACTACAACAACTAACGTGCCTTGCAAAAAGTGAAAAAAAAAAGAATCGAATGAATCAGTCTAAAAAGTGCTGTCACAATTAATGCAATGCGTCTTTGCAGTTTTTGAAAGCTTGAATTCAGAATAATATAGCCCAATTGTTTATCATGTTCGGTAATATCTCTCTGCTGTCCCCGAAGAGGAATATTTCAAACATTCGCTGTTATCACAATTTTTTTTAAAAGTATATCCTACGAAGAGCAGGTCTACTGATCCCACGTAAAAGTACCAATTGATTTTCGCGAGCAAATGTACAGTACGGAATTTGCCATATATTTTGCCAAACTTCAAACTTTGAAACTTGAGTCGCAAGAACTCTTTGACAACCTCAGATGAAGAATGATCAATTGCATGAGTATTGAAATAAAATAATGAAAGGTGATTAATGATGCGGAATGTGACCACGTTGTTGAGTTATGGTGTTGAAAACAAACGAAAGTGCAATCAATAATGCATCATTCACAAAGTAAATTTTTAAAGAGACGTCTTGTTTAGTACGCAAATAACTCAACTTTACTAGACAAGTGTTACGAATAGACCTTACCAAGTTCACGCAACCTGTTCGGTGGGATTAGAATGTTTCTTAAAAACTACAATAGAGAAGAAATTCATGATTATTCGTAACATATTCCTGAAAAGTAGTAGAAAAAACAGATTAAAAATATTTAAATTAGTTAAAACAGGGAGATTCATACTACCAATGTCAAATTTTCATGAAATTATGCAATAAAAATCTGAATATTTGGCCCGTTTTCGGGCTATTTACATGTGGTACAGTGGACAGAAAGGTCTTTACTGATAAAATCGCTCTCATCATCAAAAATTGTTCGACAGTTGTACAAAATGTCTAATATGGACACAGCTCGCGTCGTTAGTTTTCCAGTAGAAGTAATCTTCGATATGATTATCCTATAAATTATTTTATCATTTGAAGATAGACTTTGAAGAGAAGAGTGTGCAAGGCAACAGCGAAACCAAAGATGAAAGAGAAGAAGCTATTGTTATGGCCGGTGGACTGACCAGAGCCCCCATGAATCAGGTAAGCTACTTTAATCAATTAGTTTTCTTTTCATTTCCGCTTTTCTAGGATGAGTTTGATAAAAAATTCTGTTACAATAATCCGGAGCAAGATTCCATCTACCGGAAAAGAATTTCTAAATTCTTCAAAAAGTATAGAATTAGCTGAAACGATAGTTTCGTATTCCATCTACGCATTAAGGTATTATGAACCTTGTACTTCTTGGATATCTTTCAAATATTCGTTCCTGTCTTTCTTTCCTATTTTCGAATGGCTACCGCGTTATAGCTGGAAAGAAGATTTACTGTACGATTTCGTAGGTGGTATCACTGTTGGTGTCATGCATGTCCCACAAGGTGGGCGAAGGTTTGAATGCCCGGATTCAATGTTACTTCCAGGAATAGCTTACAGTTCATTAGCAAAACAAGAAGCTGTTTCCGGCTTGTACACGTCTTTTTTCTCTCCTATTTTGTACATGATTTTCGGAACTTCCAGACATGTTTCAATGGGTTTCTCAAGGTTTCTGAAGATAACATAACCATTCATTAAGGATCCTTTGCCATTGTCTCTCTGATGACTGGATTAACAGTAGAAAGAATGACGAACTCCTTATCAGTTAACCTGAAAACACCATTAGGTAGATCTGAATCTTTCTATTTCAGACTCCAGAGGAACCTCTAGAGTATTTTCCTACAGCTAACGAAGTGTCAACTGCTCTGACGCTGCTTGTGGGATTGATGCAAGTGAATGATTTCGTAGACTTAAACATAAACGAAAAAATCGGATGATCAAACTGATTTTTTGCTCTTGTTAGCCCCTCATAGATTAACCAGTTTTAATCTGTCCAGTCAGTGCGATCATATTGAAATTTTTATGTCTCACGTCATTTGAATGCTACTGAAAAGAAAAGTAAACAAAACAATTCATGAAAACTTGAAACAAATCTTTAAACTTACGTAGACATTTATAGGTTTTGATGGGCTTTTGCCAGCTCTCATTCATGATGTCATACTTCTCGGACCAGGTCATAGCCGGCTTCACTACAGGAGCTTCTTTTCACGTCCTCATTTCACAGTTGAAAGGTGCTTTCGGATTGGGGAAGCTTCCAAAACGTCAAGGTCCAGGCAACTTACTGTTTGTGAGTGATAAAAATACACAATCCATATCAGTCTGAAATTATTCAGAAGTTATACGACATTTTAATGAAAATTTCTTCAACAAATCTGGTAACGCTGGGAATAACTACGTCAACCATGGCTCTATTGGTGGTTGGGAAAGATTATATAAATCCTTGGATCATGAAGAAAATAAAAAAGGACTTACCTGTTCCTTTTGAACTAGTGGCTGTATTACAAATTCCAAGTGTTTTCAAACCGTTACGACAACTGTTTACAGGTTATTCTCGGGACAGTGTTCGTAGGACTTTTCAATCTTCATGAGAATTATAGAGTAGCTGTAGTTAAAACTATTCCTACAGGGTTATTAGAGAACTACTGAAAAATTGTTTGAAAAAAACTTTATTACAGGATACCTGTGCCAAGTGTACCAAACCTATCACTTTTTCCTAGTTTGATTCCTGATGCAACTGCTATTGCTATTGTTACAGTTGCAATACATATATCACTAGCAAAAATGTTTGCAAAGAAGAAGAAATATAATGTTGATCCTGGACAAGTATAAATTATGACCAATAATGAAACTATTTGCATCATTTTTAGGAGCTGTGGGCTCTTGGGTTCTCTTCAGTTGGCAGTAGCTTTATGCCAGTCTATCCATCTGGGGATTCACTTGGCAGAACTTTGGTCAATGTTTCAGCTGGAACTAGAACACAGGTTCCCAAACTTGAAATTCAGAAAACAATCAAATTCAGTTGTCCACAATATTCTCTTCGGTCCTCTTAGTATCTGTCATCGTTTACTTCGGCAAATGGTTGGAAACATTACCCATGGTCAGTTTCAAAAAAATATAGCATTCGATGAATATATATATACAGGCAGTCCTATCAGGCATTATCATAGTTGCTTTACGTGGAATGGCAAGAAAGTTTAAAGACTTACCTACCCTATGGCCTTTATCTAAAATAGACTTTGTGTGTGATTGCAAAGCAAGAATAACTAACCTGAGCACTTTTTAGAGCATCTGGATAGTCTCATTCGTAGCTACAGTTTGCATTGACGTTACAGAAGGACTGGCCATTTCAATTCTTTACGCATTGTTCACCACAATTATGAGAGAACAATGGTGATAAATGATATTAAATTTACACTAGGTTGTGGATTTCAGGCCTCGCTGGCACTTACTTGGAAACGTCAGTGGAACAACTGACTATCGAGATTCTGAAAGATATCAAGACGTTTTTTTCGTGAAAGTTAGCATATTGAACTTTATCTGGAGACTCACTTTTTTCAGGGTATATGTATCTTCCGTTTTGATTCTCCTCTACTTTTCACAAATGTCGAAAGGTATATTCGTTTAGTTCATATGGAAAAAGACAACCAAACTTAGGTTTAAAAAAACCGTAGAAAAAGCTTATAAAGAATGGGAAAGATCTCATGAATTTTATATTCTTCGAAGAGAAAGATCTCAAATATTCCTTGATCCATCAGTTCTGGAACACGAAATTACACAGACGGTTAGTTTTCAGCGTTATTGGTCTAATGCGATACTATTAAGACTAATGATAGCAGTAGTATAATGTTGTCCCGACATTTCATAATAGATTGTTCTGGATTTACGTTCGTGGACTGCATGGGCGTTAGCTCGTTGAAAGAGGTCTGCGTAGAAACGATAGTATGTAGAGCTCTGTTTAGGTTTTTGCGGATATGAGAGCCAAAGGAATCTTGGTATATTTCGCAGCAGCTAAAGGTTATTTTTTCATTACATCATCTACCAAATTGAACTCATATTGAAGCTCCTGTACGAGATCTGTTTGAATCTAGCGGGTTCTTTAGCTTTGTAACCAAGGATAACTTCTACCCTACGATTCGTGATGCAGTCGCCATTGCCCGCAGAAGACAATTAGTGTAAGATTAATTTTAAATAATGAAATCAAAGCACTTCTTGAAGTAAGGGACACTTCGAAGCGTTGTACACTCCAGAACACGATCGTTTGTCAGAAATTATCAGCTCTCATCCAATGGACTAAATTAATATTAAATAACTATTTTCTTCATAGAAAGAAATGCAATATTTTCTTTGTTTCTCAAACAAAAAAATAATAAAAATAATTTGGATAAACTTTCTTGAGATCACATTAAAAGCATCAACAATGTATATTGAAAAATAGAAAAAAAACTATAAAAAGGGAGAACAGTTGTCAGACCAGTTTGGAAAAAATGAAACCTAAGGTTCGGGGAATGGGAGTTGTCCAAATGACAAGACAAACGTTTTTTAAATGCTCTCCCAGTAGAAATGTTAAATGACCGGCATTCATGAATTGAGGTACATAAATTGGAAAGTAATACGAGTTTCAAAAAAAAGAAGAAAATAATCGTATCAAAGGATTAGACTGTTATTATGATCACCACCGTGATGTCCGTTTTCCATCAATCTGAGAAGCAGAACTTCAGAACAAACTATTTAAGAAAAAACTCACAATAATGGCATTTTCTTAGGAATGTTTGTGCTTAGTCGCACAGTAGGACTATCTCCAGTAGTTATAGGGGAAGTTTGTCTTCGGCAACCTATGAGACCGAGAAAGGCTTCTCTATATTCCGATGAACATAGAGCATATAAATAAAAATTGTAAAGATAGCTGAAAAAAACAATTATAACACTCTGTATTTGGGGGTCAAATAAAATTGTTTTGACTTGGATATTAAAACCAAAGAACAAACCTTGTTACTTGTAATAAATTACTGGTAGCTTTGAATGTTTGCCAGAAAAGATCATTATCTTCAGCTCTACGAACAAACAGGGACAGAAAAGATGCAGGAAGATTGCAAAGCACAAAAGTTGTTGATGTCACCAGAAGTAGCGCTGATATCCTACTTCGATCTTCCCGACTATTTCTACCCTGACGAGCTTTTAAGGAACGTCTGAAGGTAATTCATACTCTAAGGTTTGTTTGAGAATATTTCTTTACCGTAACTGTTTCTTCTCCAATTGGTGTAAGGAACGTATCATTGCAGCGTTTAGTATAACTAATAAAACTACGGGGCCCCAGCGTGAAGCCAGCTGAAAAAGAATACTAATGAGCATTTTGATTACATTCTTTTTTGGAATTTTGTTTTTAAAACTCATTTTCACACCCACACGACGGAAGTTCAGCAAATTGTTTGCTAAGCAAAAATTTTAAAATCTGAAAAACTAGGCCTAAATGGAATGCAACCGGTCTATGTTCAAAAACTGATAAAATGACGGTCGTAATGACGCACTTATTCTAATTTCCTCAACATTAGGCTCCTCCCCTCCCACCTCCTCATTTTTCTTTGTCGAATCGAGCATGTCAACTCTCATAAAAATGAAACATCACCTCTCTAAAGAGCAAATAAACCTGAAAAGGTAAACCATCCTCCACGTCATGATTTCTAACAATCTCAAAATGCAATCTGCATCAAATCATCATTATATGAAAGAAAGTGTTCCCAAACCTCAGAGATTCATCCTTTGACGGAACTAATTCTTTCTGACATATCGAAGGAACATATATCAGAAAAGCCAGGAAATATAGCATGGCAATTACTTTTTTAGTTCTTCGTTTACTGTCCGAAGTATTGAAAAACTGTATAGGATGGCAAATAGATAAATAACGATCGACAGTCATAGCGACTATGCAGAATGCACTATAAATCAAGTAGATAAACATTTTATATATGAAAGAGTCATACCTAGCTGCTATAAGAGCATTGATAATTGGCAACTCTAAATGAGCATGATACAACATTTCAACTCTAGATCTCGTATTAATGAGATCGGCATGACGTAACAAAAACGGGATAAACGATATTATGGATAGTATATCAGCAATAGCAGAAGCCTGAGAATATGATTTTGATAAACTACTTTCTATTGAACTGACTTTGAGATACAGAAATCCTCCAGATGGTAACTGCAGTAGGGTACAAACGTTCAAGCACTGATTGATCATTCCTATAAACATAAACGGTGATTCAAAATGAAAACGTTAATAAAGCTTATATTCACTCACCAATCGTAAGTACAATAGGCATAACGACTACATGAGCCACATATTCCACTTCTGCCATTGAAGTATTAGAATACAAAGCACTAGAAGGGATGGACGATGAGTCCAGAGGACTAAAGTCGCCCACCGAGGTTACAGAAAGTAATCTTAAAAAATACGGTGGTGAGGAGAACTCGAAACTCAAAAGTAATTGATCTAAACAAGAAAAAGGGGAAAAAATACGTTGGTACCAACTCAGCAAAGTTTTATAAAACAGTCTTACATGTGAAATGTGGAGTTATAAATAGGAATGCAACAAGAAACGACTTTAATAATAATACTTTTGATACGTTATAAGCACCGAGTAGAGATAAATTTGAGTTATATACTGTTGAAAAGTGAAAAAAAATTGAATTTCCGGATGATGTTATCGGAAACAAAACGCAAAGGGTTTGTAATCGAAGCCAAAGAGTTGGAACATAAATGAAAAAGGAGAGGAAATTCATTGAAGGCCAATGTCCAAGTTTTCCGATAGAAAGATTGTGAACAGGAAACTCAGAGAATTAAAAGAAAAGAAAGTGGAAAGTTTGGCACTAAATGGCTTAATTTCTTAATTATATTCCGCTTTGTTTGCCACGTGACTAAGCTGCTTCGCAACATCCAGCTTTACATCTTTGGCATTTACTTTCCAAACAAGCTTTTGCATATCTCAACATTGCAGCGAAACTTAAATCATTGTGAAGTGTCAAGAAAGCAGAGTTCACAACATATCAAATGATGTTATCATCGCATACGGTTTCTAGCTCGAATGGAAACATTATTTTCTATGAACGATAAAGCTTTTTCAAAGCTGGAAAATGTATATCAGATAATTTTGAAAAAATTAATCAAAAATATTCAGCAAGCTAATAAGAAACATTAGGTGAATGTTCGGAAAACTAGCTTGCCCAAAGAATCGGAAGCCTTAAAAAATGAAAAGGTTAAATATGAGAAGTTTCAAACTTATCAAGTTACACTACATCCGAAAACTATTGATTTAACTTTTCAAATCTAATTAATCGAAAAGAGAGAAATCTTTTGGGGGTTTTATTTGGTTCAAATGCTCAATGTTCTTTTTGACTTTTAAAGATACACAGTACACTACCACAGAAGATAAGAATGAAAATTGGTAGCGATTAGAGTTGTCATAGAATTGAGAGATCGAAATTACATTATCGAATCGTTTTCATGGAAGATTCATCATGTTGATACAACGAGACCTTCTTCAGATTATACAAGCTATGATGAACCTCCCGTGAAGAAGTCAAATAATAGAACCACTGAAAACAAAAGAAGACTATTTCTCTTTGATTTCGAAGAAAACATGATGATGTTAACTAATTGGTATTTCATGAAATAAAAAAAACTTTGAATAAACGCGTATGGATACGGAAGCTCTGAAGTTCTAAAATATTCCCTGATTTCTTTAAAAGGATAGACAATACAAATCTAAGTATGTTATGTTCCTGCTTGACAAACACATCTCTCCAAATTATTTCTTCTCGTGTACATTATACGCTAGTGAACATGTAGAAACATTGTACAAAATCCCCATCACGAAGATGATGATGTCTCTTAAGAGGTTTATAATAAAGATCGTTTGCAATTTTGAGGTCGAAAACGTTCAATGGTAACTTTTCTTCCAAACGTGTAGTTTCGAACCATGAAAAACAAAACAAAAAAAGCATGATTCGAACAACACTGACACAACAAAAGAATATCTTTAGTGCCAGACACTCAGATTGTTTTACAGTTCTGCAAAAGATCAAGAGGAAGTCTTCTCAGAAATCAAAGAACAATATTTCCTCAACTCATAAGCCTAATAATTTGAATAATTATGTGAGGGTATAAAACGAAAAATATTTCTTAGAGCAAAACCTCAATGAGCATGACTGATTCTTATAATCAAATAAAAACAGAGATCAAGCTTTAGAAATCGCTCCTTGTGTTTACAGCAAAACCAAATAATCAGTTACAATCACAAGGGCTACATGAACTCAAATAAAGGGAAAACAGAGGTGGTAAGTGAAAGCGACTTGTTACAACATGCAGCAAACTTACTTCATAATTAACAGGTTCCGTTTTCAAAGCAAAGTTATCTATGAGCAATAAGCATCTCTCACATCACTAAAAGTTAATTAAACACAACCATTATAGACGAAAGAGAAAGAAAAAAAGAAAAACATAGATTAGAAAGATTGGGAGTAAGCTGAAGAGATCGAGAGGTTATTCATAAGAAACTGTACTATTTTATAAAACTCCAGTTGAATGTCAAACTTCCCCTCGCCATTCGCCTAAGTACTTTCTCAATAGAGAAAAAGAATCATAGTTAGGGAAATTCGGATGAGGCATGGGCGTAGCAGTTGAAAGAAGTGAAACGTCTAACTCAAATCTACAACTCTTCACAAATAAGTCTTTGATAAAATGGGCATCGACAACTACACTCAAATGCCCTTTTAATAATCAATAGAAGGGTGGATTATGCTTTCACGAATTTTTAAGGAAAAGCTATGAATGACAAGAAACATATTATCCTTTCGTGAAATGGATTATTCTTTTTGATCATGTCAGATGCATCATCACACCACATGTTGCTCGAAATTTTTATGTGCTTCTTTAAAAAGATTTCAAGAGAGAAGCACAAAGAGATATGAGGAAATGGATTGGACATCCTACTTTTCTTCTAAACACTTTTATCTTAGGCTTTTCAAAGAACTGAAATTGAAGAGATTTATACTTTAGATTTTCACTATGCAACATCTAGCATCTTTCAATTCAACATCTGATCCAACACCCATTTCATGAAGCGAGAAATAAAATGATTTTGTGAAGATCAATTAACACATTTCTTATCAAACACAATGGCATAGATCAAACATTAGTTTTCTCTTATAACACGTTAAACAGTAGCAAACGCGTATTCTTCATCTCGGGCAACGAAAAGAACAAGTCGAGCGTGAAACTTGCTTTCAAAAAGATTGGATAGTGGAGCACATAAGACTAAGTCATTTCGAACCTTTTTCAGGGAGAGAAAAATCTGAAAGAAGTAGTCAACGATAATAGCATGATTAGATGATAAGAAGAGTCAAAAATAGAATAATTTAGCTGCTTCCCAAATACTGCTCTAGTCTTTCAAATCATCAAGTCAATTGAAGCGACGTTCAGTCAACTTGGCGAAAATTGAAATGTGAGATATGCAATTGAATATAGAGTAATTTCACAGAAAAAGGATTAAAAAAAGTGAAATACAAGAGCTGAAAAACTCAAACGTGACTGAAACTCTCCCAATTATGTCTCAGACTGACAGGAAGTTAATTTATTTTTCATCCTACGAGAAAGATTTTTCACCAATCTATTCACGACATCCATCTTATCATGGTTTTGTTCTCATAACAAACAATTAATGATAACGTGGACTCTTTTCAGTTAGGAATTATAACTACCATAAGAAATAAGAACAAATGAAAGAGCAATAAAGAAAGCGCTTGATCGACGGCGAATGGCCGAAGCTAAGACTGGATCGAATCACATCATAGTTGAACTTCCTCTTCTTCCTCTATCTCTATCTATCTCTCTTCCTCATTACTGAACGTGGATATCTTTCAGAACCTAATTTTGGAAAGAAAGTCTTCCAGCGCAAACCCAGGGTCATTATTGAGAAATAAAAAGAAAATCAAATACCAAAACTAAGAGAGGAATTACATTTTCAAAAAGATATAAAAAGTCAAAGCAAAAAAGTGATGTCAGTTAGGAGAGTTTAGGACAATGAGAGCTAATCCGAGTTATTAATGAGTAACCCTGAACGCTATAAGCAACAGTTCGGCTGCAACACATATCTTCATAATCTGTCATTACGCTTATGAAAAATAAACAAATGAAGTAAAGAAATGTCTACACCTGGAACAAGTTTTTCCATGAACTCGATCCAACGTATGTAAATAATTTGGAAAACCACTAGCTGAGGATTCTTGAAAGAAAACTTACTAGATAAACCATTCTTTTTGATGAAAACATTGTGATCATTAAATGATAATTCGATTGACGAATTATGCAATCACTCCTTTTAGCAGACCAAGTATTTCAGCCTACTCGTCCGAGCTATGAATAAACGATTCACAACGTGGGAACACAAAGTGCTGTGGGAGGAATAACAGATTGAAAATAGCGGAAAAATGTTTTTTGAGGACAAGTCTTTTTTCTATGAGTAATTGTCGTAGACTCTTTATTGTCTCCTCCGCTTGCAACGTTTCGGCAATCAAGCTGCTCAGATACCAAATTGAGCGCTGAATCAGATTCTGCCTACATAAATATCTCCAAAAATGAAAGTCCCACACCTCCACAACAAAATTATAACAATCTAATTAGAGTGTTGGTATGTAGCTGGTGCTAATATCTAGTCATTCGATCAAATAACAAATTGCAGAAAGAGTGATTTTAGAAGTTATTAAAATATAAATCGGGAAAAGAAAGTGTTTAAATAAATTAGAAGTAAGACGTCATAAACCCAGACTCAGTTCTATTTATAGAAGCATATCACATTAATGTTTCTCAAAGAAACGTTATGCTATTCCCTTGAATACTTTGATGCTTTTGTGAGAACCAAGGACTTCCCTTGTCTATCGTTTCAATTCATTATCTGTCACTGAATAATAGATAAGCTCACATTTGGCTGCAACAGAAAACGGAAGAGGGTAAAAGGAATCGAATTGGTCGAAGTTTCACATCTCAAAGAAGTAGCAACGTGACCAAAGTTAAAGTTGGGAGTCTAATATTCTACGGTCAGGGTACGAGGTTGAGCAAGATACTGGAACAAAGCTTGCATTAGAAGCGATTAATTCAGTTAAGAGCTTGTTGGGGAAGTAGGCATTTTATGAAAATTGAGAAAAACAACACGAAAACATCGATTCAAATCACAAGCGTTATTGTCTATAAAGTTTGTAATAGTGAGATAACCAGAGGTATTCTCTTTTTCATATCTATACTTGTACTTCTATTAAAGACATGTATCAAACGGTAAATACACATGCGGATGTAGACTGAAACTTATGATGCATCTTCTTCTGTTTCAACTTTTGTCTTGCTTTCATACTATAGATCTGTCTCATACCCTATTTGAGCCCATTTCACTAAATTATAATCGCGAGATGCTGCCAGAAGACAGAGAGAAGGAGCTCGAAGCTTAATATGAGATGAGTTAAGGAGCACAGTTCAAAAGGGTATGCTAAATTAGGAATCTACTGCAATATTTTATGCTGCAGAGAAAAACTCGATGAAATGCAATTTAAAAGTTAAGAAAAGATATATCCGCTGTGAATTCACAGGAAAGATGTTTTCCTACATCATTCGCAAAACGAAACAATTAGATTATCAACTATATCTAGTGCAAGCAGAATATTTCTTCAACCTTAACTCGCATTTACAAAATGGTTTAAAATACTATTCTAGTATGGAGAAGAATATACTGAGTCCCATATGATATACAAAGTCCATTTCAAAAAAAGTTTAAACTCACATTTGGAAAATCGGGATCTCAAGAGAATCAACTGCTATACTCTAGAAGCACTAATGGTTTGAAAACAACATTCCACGTGAATGAGCAAACACGTGGATTACTTGAATAATCTAATGACCTGTTTAAAAATTTTCGAAACAGCGTCATTAGGTTCAAAATGACTATTGCGTACGTAAAAACAAAGTAAAGGATGTGTTAATGTTTGTAAACAGTAAATATATCATAATTTCGAGCATTATATCTGAGTCTTATTGAAGTACACTCAAGGTCGCGAAACTATGTCATTAATTTTTGTCTTTTTAAATTTTTATATTAACAGAGCGGCACAAAAAAGACTAGAAGTACGCTTTGAGCAAATATAGCAATTTTTGAAAGTTTGAACTTTAACCAAACAATGGAAAAAATAAGTAGAAGCTTTGGTTAAACGCATAAGTAAACCAATCCGTTAGTTGATGCCTTAAGGGTGGTCTTAGAGCTTGTCTGGAATATACTGAAAAGCAGATAGTTCTATGAAGTTTAGTTGAGTAACCTAAAAGAACAATTATCATATAACAATAATTGACCAATGTATGCAAAATAGTTCAACAACTTCTTCGATAAACATCATGTAATGAAAGGAAATGCTTTTCTTCTATGATTATGATATTTAGTGTTGGATAGAACTGCAGATGAAATAATATTCTGTTTGTTATGTTGGGGAATAATTGCCTCGTCGCTTTGGGTGTTTAGGAAAAATCGAGCGGACTGTCATCTGGTTGAATTTAATAATAAAGCATAATAGATGGTTTGCAATCACTCCTATTACTATTGAGTTTCTTTGGAAATCCAGCAGCGTTAAGCTTTGCTCAAATTTGATTGAGAGTGGTAGTGCTCGTTGTGGAGAAATTGAATGTCATTTCTAACGGATTGAGCAATACTCGAATGAAGATTCTCAAAAAATTCTGAGAACGGAACATTTTCTTTGATGAGATTTCATGCATCTTAAGGCTTTCTCTTCCTGTTTTACCAAAAGCTAGCACCTAATGACAGTAGGAGCTCTTGTCTGGATTAGCACATAAATAATTCAACCTTAACTAATCCAAAATCTCACAAGGATAAGTGCACAGATCTTTATAGGTTATGCATAGACAGGGAAGAGAATAGCGATAGAAGACAGAGCTGACATGTCTTCGAATAAGTAATTAGTGTAAGTATTCGGGTGTGATGCAAGCTCAAAAGTTAGAAAGACGAGTCTAACAATAAGAGAAGAATGCTCTCAGGGGAGACGAAACGTCTCAAGAAATAAGGATCGTCATTTCACACGTGGTTTCCTCTCGCGGAAATATAACTACATCTGGCTCCTCCTGTCTGTATTATAAACGAACTAACACATGACTGGGAGAAGATCTAAAATTGTTGAAAATTTTGAGCCGTTACTTCTGAACACTCTCTTCAATCTGAGGAGTCATTTTTTGAGAATCTCTGAACACTTGAATATAAAAGATTAATGAGACCAACATACTGTGTTCGAGACTTTACCACTTAACGCAAAGTTCTCCTAACCACGCATACTTCATGTTCTCTAGCGAGGTAAAATTAAATTTTATAAGTTTTCCCAATGAAAAATAGCAAAACAACAAACAGTATAAAACTAGAAGAACTATATTTTTTTAAGACCTAGGGATCGGAGCCCCTTGAGCTTCAGCAGATATCAGTTGATGTTCCTAAAAAAATATTTCAGATAAAAATGGCTTCGCGACTCAAGACCTGGAATCGGAGAGATACCCGTTGCGTCATCTTCAGATATTTATCTAAACAATTGGTGCTGCACTTCTCTTCCTTCTCGCTAACAGTTCTAAATAATATTAAGAGTAGGTAAAACGTTTATCAAGCTTCAACCTGGATGTCATATCATTAACACAAGCTCCAAAACATTGCTCTGTGACATTGTTGTACTGCATCAGAAAATCTCGGAAAGTTTTCAAATCAGTGTCTGTTCCTGTAGCAACTGCGGCCATTTTGACAATACTATGAAAAAAATGATTGTAGATTCGAAAACAACAGATGATAATATGATATGGAATCAACCATTGAGTACGTACATAGCTAGACCGTTAAATCAACTTTATTCTGACTAATTAAAATATATACTGACTATCACACATCAACTCGTATTTCAAGCACGCGTTCCTCGATCGGTTAGGACCAAATCAATTCTTCAGCGTTTTCAGAATTTCATGAGCATCATTCAAAGTTTTGTCCGTCTACAGTTACAAACTCGGAATATTTATGACAGTAATCAACTACAAACCTTCATGAAACATACTCGAATCAGTGTATTGTTCTTGGCCTCTGAGTCGCCCGAATAAAATGCTGATGGAGGAATAGTTGCTAGTTTCTACAAAAATTAAAGTTCTCATTGGAGCAAACTTCCCTCACTTTTTCTTTGCACAGCCAACGAACAAATCTGAAGTCAATCGAGCTTCCATCGCCAGCTTCTTCTCGGAAAGGACCATCTTTGATTTTATATATTAATTACGGAAAGATTACGTCCTCTTACCAATTCCTCCAAAATCTGCGAGCATAAAATATCCGGATTGGGGTAGAATAGGTCGAAGACCGGCTTCGCGTAGCATATCAGCAAGCTTATCCCTCTTGGTTTGGAGCTCGCTTGAGAGACCAGTTAATAAGTAGGAATCTTCAGGATTCGTATCAAAAATAGCCATTCTGAATTAAAATTATCAAATCCTATGAACTAAAAGATTTTTACTCTTTCTCAAACGCTTGAGCAATTGCTTCCTGTGTTGGTGTGCTACAGGTGAACACGCAATTTTGATGCACCATCTGAACACAATATCATACTTCACAGTATGAACATTTTAAAACCTTAATAGGAGCTAACAAGTGCTCTGGAGCAATAGCCCATCCGAGTTTCCATCCAGTTACAGAAAAAGCTTTGCCAGCACTGCCAATGGAAATTGTTCTTTCGTACATTCCAGGAATACTAGCTTAAGCCAAGAATTACAAGACATTCCTAACTATCACAAACCGAAACGAATCATTTTCTCTCCACCGAAAACGTGCCATTCGTAAACTTCATCTGCTACAACGATCAAGTTTTTCTCCCTAACAAACTCAGCAATTTGTTCAAGTTCTTCTCGAGAAAAAACTTTGCCTGTTGGATTATTGGGGTTATTGAGCACAAGCATCTGAATATCAAAAATTATTTGGGCAACATGAGTATATTCCAACTTTTGTTTTTGGTGTCCATTTGTTTCTGAGGGCATTCACATCCAAGGTAAATTCAGCAGAAGTTTTTGCTCCTTCTTTTAAGTTCATAACAACTGGAACCGGACTTCCTCCGGCCATGCGAACTTGGGGAGCATAACAGTCATACGTTGGTTCAATCACTGAAAATATTTGTAATATTATAAATCGCTTGTTTTCAATTTTTTTACATAATACTTCATCCCCATGATTGATCCAACCCAAAAATGTGTAATACAAAGATAAGTAAGCTCCCACAGTGACCAATATCTATAACAGAAGCAGCTAACACAGTTTAAAGGATCATTGAGAAACTTCTTGTACTCCATTGATATCTCTTCCGTAGAAACCACCATAGAGCTTTGATAGAGCTTGTACTAGGCGAGGATGTCCGAATCCTGAAGCAGTTTAATCATTCAACCGTAAGAGATTGTAGAATCTTCAAAACATTTAAATTGTGAATTTGCATCACAGTGGTTGCAATCACCAAAACTATATTTTAGTTTATGGAAATACAGTTCTGCACAGATTAACCTCTGGTATATTGATGCCAATCAGTTCTTTCAGGATGATTGCATATTTCTCTCAATAAATCAGATACGAACTTAGGCATAGGCCCATCTGGGAAACCCTACCAAACTAATCGATATACAAAATTCTCCATCTCACTAACCTGGCCTAGATTAACAGCTTTACTTTCGGCCGCAAGAGTAGTAAACTCAACCCTATATTTATCGATAATGAAGAGCCTTAACTACTACTAACTAACCAAATTGAAGGCTTAGCATTCACGATTCTATCAGCACACTTAAATCCTTGGACTCCAGACATAGCACGTCGAAAGTTTCGAAGTCCACCGCCACAGGATCTTCCCAAAACAAAAGAGTTCATTTGGACTCAACCTTCTTAAGCTCTCCCTAGAGCTCCATAATTTTATTCTCACGTAACCATCATAGTATCTCAAGAGAGCATTAACCTCTTTAATAAAATACTTTTAAATGCCGGCTCTCCTTTATTTCCATTTTTTACCATTAAATAACGCTCGATACATTTGGATTGTATTTCACTTGCAAATTGCACAAAACATAATTTAGATCGGAACATGTAAATTGATAAAATATACTTATTATAAAACAAAACTGACATTTTTTGAGAACAGACACATAAGGAAACGATACACCGACACGTGCATTGGGTAACAAAACGCAGTTTGAGCCCAGGTCGACAACAGAGGCGCCAACCACGGCAAGCATTAACAGCGTAAATACTATCTTAGCAACCGATGGCTCGCCTCCTCAATCTATACAATCTGAGAGCTCGTAGAAATATGATAGAAAATTCAGATCACGACGAGAAAAGACTATTTTAATAGTACGGTAGATAAATTAGTTGGCTTCATCTGGATCTGCTTCACCTTCGGGACCGGCATCGGAAGTCCAGAGAGTCAAGTTGTCTCTGAGGAGCTGCATGATGAGGGTGGAATCCTTGTAAGAATCCTCATTGAGGGTGTCAAGCTCAGCAATAGCATCATCGAAAGCCTGGAAAAAAAGAAGTAAGACATGTAAACTTAGCAGAAAAAATTTTCGCCCTTCAAGGGTACCTGCTTAGCAAGTTGGCAAGCCCTGTCAGGGCTGGAATCAACTTCGTAGAAAAATACGGAGTAGTTGAGTGCCAACCCTAACCTGACCGGATGTATAACGCTAAGGTGTACTTTAGCCATATCCCAAGATTCTAAGTAAGCGGCTTGCGCATGCGTGGCAAAAGCTGTAAAAAGAAAAAGTAACTCGCCTGTTTAGCCAATTGACAGGCTTTGTCTGGAGCATTGAGAATTTCGTAGTAGAACACGGAGAAGTTCAAAGCAAGACCAAGACGGATAGGGTGAGTAGGCTGCATCTTGTCCTTGGCGATGTCAAAGGCCTCCTGGTATGACTGCTGCGACTTGTCGACAACCGCTGCAATCATTAGAGTCAAGACGTTAACCAAGGACAGTGCTCAACCTAGTGACAACCCCATTCGTCCGGGTATCAATTTTGGACTTCTTTCTCATGTATTAAATAACGAACAAAAAAGATGAGAAAGGTTGTCACTGGTGTTAGAGCACACTTGGGTTACGTACTAAAAAAATCAATCTAAAACTTACAGGCTCTATCTTCTCCAGAAGCAACTTCAGCGAGATACCTGTAGTAATCTCCCTTCATCTTGAGGTAAAAGACCTTGGATTCTGGGTTTCCGGCCTTAGGGATGAGGAACCTGTCAAGGAGATTCTGAAATTTATCATTTACAGTTGACCACAATTGTTAGACAAAGTGGCGCCTGTCACTATAAGACTAGGTAGGCATATGTCGCAGGGGATCAATAAATTTGTGAACCAAAAAAGTGACCAAACAATAGGCTGTGAAGAAAGGTCAAAACTTACAAGAACATCTTCGCAGATTTCGCGAAGCTCGGTCTCAACTTTCTCTCGGTATTCCTTAGCCATCTGTTGCTTCTTCTCGGATCCTTCGGTCTTCTGTTCAATGGAAGAAATAACTCTCCAGCTGGATCTTCTAGCTCCAACGACATTCTTGTAGGCAACGGAAAGAAGATTGCGTTCTTCATTGGACAATTCAGCTCCAAGCTCGGTGACTTTCTTCATGGACTGAGCCATGTCATCGTATCTCTCGGCCTAAACCAGAGTATGGAAAACAACGAGAAAAAATTTAAAGTACCTGTTCGGCAAGCTTGGCTCTCTGCACGAGCTCGTCCTTGTTGTCAGTCATGGTGGATAAAACTGCAATAGAACAATGGTTAACATATTCCGGGTAATTTTATGCAACGACAAAGGGTGATATAAGATAAGATTGAAGAAACATGGCAACAAATGAAGAACATACACTGACAAGGCTCCCTCGAATGCTCTGTGCCAACGTCATGCACAAGAGGGATGGGGCGGGAATGCAGATAGGAGCGCACACATTTAAACCAAGTTGAATAATTGATTTAAAAAAGTATAAAAAATATCGGAATTAAAACTGTTACAAAATAAACAATATAATTGTTGTTTTCGCACTTAAACAAATTACAATGGCACAATCCCGAACTGTACACACAATACCACAATGTAGAAGGTTCTAATGCGGCAGAATTCGGGGGACTAGCTGACCACATGTCCCGCCTCTTTGCCGCGCAAACAGGGAGGGGTCTGAAAACAAGGATAGGAGCGCGCACAATGGTTCATGTTTTATGATAAAATCGCAGAAAAATCCTACAAATTGGGAACCAAATAAGTCGAACTCACAGGTTGTATCACCATGAACATAGATAAATTCAAAATTTTTTCACATTTCTTTGTTTATTTTAGTAATGAGCGCCAACATAATTTTCCGCGGAGGAATATGGGGGACCATCGAAGTGGGCGGGCTCACGTCCCGAGCACGGATCGATGGGCAGCCGGCTGACCGCACGCACGTAAACAAGCCGCGCCGCGTGTAATTAACTGCTAGATGCGGGAATTACTCAGCAGTGAGCATTCAGCTGGATTATCAAAGAACAAATTTACTCCTTTAGAAGCCGAAGTCGATAAGACTTGAATACCACTGAAAAACCAATGGTAGTGCTTTGTTCAGTTTGAAATTTGGTTTTATTGGGTCAGCCTCATCCGCTCCTTTTAAGAACGGATCGTTTGAATAACGTTTCGAAATGTTGATAGTATCGACCTGAGTCATGCTAGGCGGTGTAAATTGAAGTGAATGATTCTGTCAGTACAAACTTCCATCCCACACAACTTTCATAAGTTATGTTTTCTTTCCATCTAATAAAATAAAATTAATCTAAACACCGGTCATCTGTGAGAGGGCGACGTGAAGTGATAAATGTATTATTTGTCTAACACTATCACATCTGTGATAAGTGTGCATCGGGTTTTACTTGCTATTTGCTGTCCAAAATTCGGCTTCTTTGACCGAATTTGCAGCTTTCGCTTAAACTAGGAAGACAGCAAGGAAACTAAATAACTATCGAGAGTAAAGAAATTTTAATTCCTCTACCAGAGATAGTCTTGATGTCTCAACTGCTAGCTGTTTGACATTTTTATGAGGGTCTTCTTGCCAATGTTTGATACATTTATACTCCTCAGTAAAAAGAAAATCGATACGAGGCAGTTTGTCTATTCTGTCTCATGACTATAAATAGCTGGAGGATTGTGCAAGCTGGAGGCGAAGAATGCTGTGTGAGATGTTGTTGTCGAGGGAGCTGACACTATACTGTTGGGAGAGGGAAATGTTTGGCAGTTTGGTTCGGTAGATTCACTGATTCCCGATAAGGTTGTCAGGAGACAGTACATCTCACTCAACCTTGTCGGTTGTTTTGAATTAATGATGTGATGGATTAGGGCATACTTTCAAATGAACCATACATATCTCTCAATCTATATATGGGCAAAGAAGTGGAACAGCAACAAAATAGATCTGACTCATCTATCTCTGTAAATAACTGTTCTATGAAAGGTACATTAGTTACAGAGAGAAGAGATGAACCTCTCCGTTATCTCTAGATTACGGCATAATATATGTTTAAATAAAAGTGTTCCTTTAAGCTGACAAGTATACTTCACTAAAATCATTTTTATTGTTAGACGTATCCCATCATTTAGTACACTCATTGAGTCCTTCTGTCTTAATCTCTGCAGTTCTAAATCTTTGAAGAAGATGATCTTGTGTATATTTGAATTTGGCGCCAGGTTTGAAGGTTGTTCGAATCATTGAAAGAACTTGTTGCGAAGCCGTGGCTATTTCATCTGTATTCTTCACATCTTCAATGATGTATTGTTCAGTCTCAGGATCTCATTATGTGTCACTACACCGCTACCCAGGTAGAATAATTCTACGAAACTTCAAACGTTCTAGAACAGTTGATCGTTTTATGATTGGTTTAGTGTATTAAACATAGTCAAAAGACGTTTCCCAATCAGGGTTTCGTCAGACCGCTTGTAAATTTGTCATTATGCTAGTCAAATTATAATAGGAAGGCTTCTCACTCTCAAAAATCGATTATACGATTCTACACGTTTATTATTGAAATAGTCTCAGCTCAATGTGAAGCCTCTAAATATCCATGGTTTCCATGGTTGCACATACCTCCGACATACTAATTAAGAGTGCTGCGTGGGTTTCGGCGAATAAAATTCAACAACATAATGTATGTCCAAAAAGCAAAGGCGCAAATAAATATTGCAGAAAGACGGTTGTACTAATCTATTTGACCGAACGGTGAACCGCATGGATTTTAGCTTGTTTTGATACTAGAAATGTTCAACATCTGGTTCCAGTCCATTTTCAATGACAGCCTGGAAACACCACATGTCCAATTTCGGCTTTTGCTTGGGAGCCCAAATGAGGGATCTAGATGACCATTCTGGGGTTTCTTTCAGTCTTCTCAAATGGATTTGCCCTCAGGGGCACAGATGGCGCAGAGTACGCTATTGCCTTCATTTTGGCAATGACACGAGTTTCATTACTCGTCGATGAGAGGCAGAAAGAAGGCTTTGAATGATATTCGGGAGCGGAGAGCGGTTTCCTTATTCTGCTTGCTTTCAGACACTAATGAAGTTTTATAATGTGCTCGTGTTGTGTAGCAAGAGCACAACTATATTTATTGGTTCAACACTAGCGAGCAATGTCCTCTGCATCTCATCATCACAGAAAGATACATAAGATTTGGTCAGGTGATTGCACAAAGCTAAGGAAAAACAATGAAGACATTCTAAATATTCTCTTTCTGTCCAATAATCCTGTTGTTGGGCACGTGCTCATGGAATTTCGACAACGTCATCTGGGGCTTAATCTGCTTCCACCCGATAAGACATAAAGTGAAAGATATTTCGTATTTTGAGCGAAGCTGTAGACGCGAGTACTTGAAAAACCAACTTTCGCTCTTTTATCTGTACGCTCTCATTTTATCTTTTGATTGAATCAGTTGGCTTTATTATCCTTTGAACTCTATTTATAGAAGTTGCTAAAGATTTAAAAGCTAACTAGCAGAGCGGAATGTGCACCAACAGTAATAAGCCAACACGATTAACCATCATTGACACAATAATTCTTTGTTCAAAACCATTTTCTTCTTGGCAGTATAACGGTTTAGATAATTTTCAAATCTTAGAACTAACTATGTGAGAATTATCTGAATACGAAGTTATGAAAAATTTGAAAGATCGAGAGTACTTAAGAGAATAGAATTCCAACCTCAACTCTTTGTTTCGTCACGACTTCAATTCGAACCTAACGCTGGGATGCAAAATATATTAAAAAAGCAGAGAGAAATTAGTTAGAAGAAAAACAACAGAATATATATATGCATATATATATATATATATATATATATATATATACATTTATAATTATGTGTGTACCTTACTCTGGCTTTTCGTCAGAAGAGATTATATTTTCTCTTGCGCTTTCGCTTCTATTCTGATTGCAGCAGAAAAGTCTACAACTGTCTTATGGGGATGAATGACAGATGTTATAAGAAGTAGGAAATATGATATCTATTAAGTTTCTAGATTGTTAGACTATTACACACTGCTTCGAAAACTCTTTTAAGGTACAAGTGAGAGTAATCATAAGCCCATGAAAACCTCTTCTCCTTCAAAAGAAAAACACATACTTTTTTTTAAAATCAGAATATGTTAGTAAAGTAAAATCAAAACGAATAACCTGGACAGTCTAGAAAACACAACCGCACCATAAGGCCGCAACAGAGAAATGAGAAGTTGGCGTCAATTATTTGCATATAATGTCACGTACGCAATACCGAAAAATCAGTTAAACAGAGTGAAGTGTCCGATTTTTCGTGAAATTTGTTTTGTCTTGAACACAAGTGATGAACAACGTTTTGAAGTTCGATTCGGAATATCAGAGAAGTTGTGAAAGTGATCGCTGCAATCACGTACAACTGAATGTTCTTTATTACCGGTTTATTGAAAGAAGCTTGTTCAACATCTCATATAATTCATAAAAAAAAGGTTCAACTCTATTAAATTTTTTTTTCTTATTGAATAATTATGTTGTTTGCTGGCGCATGATTTTCGTTCAGCAAAGAACTTCGTTGTGACAATATTCATTCATTTTTGAATTTTAAATAGAAATGTGAGAATTTTACGTAAATTATTGTTTTTTTTCACAATAATAAATATACTTTATATTTCCAAACATGAAATTCCAGACATACATCTACAAGTTTGAGACTGATAAGTTTATCAGGTTTCAAATGTATGGGGGAAGAACTGATAGTTATCTCCTAATGAACATCCTTAAGCAACTTCTTTTGAATGAACTAAACTATTGAAAGGATTCACTATACATGCACACATACAAATGAATTGTCGCTGAAGTTTAGAAGAAGAATGTTTCTTTCCAAAAAGAAAAATGACCTCGAATGTCAATTGAGCCGATTCATAGAGCACCAGAACATGCCCACAATCTGAAGTTGTTTTCATCTTTCTTCCACAATTTCTTCTCTTGAGTTCCTTTTTTTAGAGCTTTCTGATAGGTGAGAACAAGAATTCCATGTAATACTGTCGATGAACCAAATTTTGTTCATTTCAGAGCGTTCTAGTCTGAAAGTTAAGTCCTCAAGCTACTTCTTAGTTTTATAAAAATGATTTCTATGCATAAATTGGCAAGTCATAAAACCTCAGCTGAAGATGCTCTGTCGATAAATATTTTGTTTTTTTTTTGTCTTTTCCTTTTATTACGCTATTTGTAAGAATCCTGGTGAGTTTTCGAACGATTCTCCTTTGCATTCAACGAGGAACTAAATAAACGGAATATTCATCCGGCAAGCTCTCAATAATTCCAAACTTAAGGTAATTAGAGCTCTAACTACGAATATTTTCGACTTCCATAAACAGCAGTAAGCTGAAGTAACGGAAGCTTTAAACCTAATGCTGCTACTACAAAACTTCACCTCTCTATTCCTTGATTGTTGTATTGGCTTTGTTTCTTTCCATTTCCTGATGTTCAATAAGACTTTCTACACTCTTCTGGATCATTGTTCAATATTTCCATAGAAATTCCCTCAATTTTTTTCGACTGAGAAAATAGCTTCCTAATCGTCTATCCCCAACACAACCGTTCATTTCGACATCTTAACTGAAATGAAGAAAATGGATTTCGTGATTGGTGCGAAAAATTCAAAATCTGATGCTCCATCAGTAAGTCCTAATGAAAAAATTTAATCATTTTATTGTTGAAGTGTGTACTTGTTGAGAAAAATTAAGGAACAGGATGATTGTTGTGGTGAGCAAGGATTAGAATGTATAAATGTGTTAGTAACAAACTTATTCTTAGAATTTCTTCTTGTTCGGCAATCACCAATTTCCAAACGAGTAGTATGAAAGCGTCCAGGAGGAGAGAAAGCCAGAGGGGAGGGTAAGGATTCAGAATTTTGTTTTTTGTCAGAGCTCTTACATGGTTTATGACCAAAAGACTATATCTGGTTTCGTCTAATATAGCAAAACGTGATTTCTAGAAAAATTTACTTAATTTTCTTATTAATAACAAAGCCGTTACGACTTAGCTGCTGAATCAACTGATATTTCCTAGAATTTGAAACAAACGAAGCAGTCGAAACCTTCTGACATCTCAAAAACTCTTGTTTATCTGCAAACGAAACGTAGTCAAGGTTTCAAACAATGTTTGAAATAACTTTTTTCGAAATTTTGCTCAAATTTCCGCTAACTTCACATTTAATCCAAATATAAATGTATTATAGGCAAGAAACCAACAGAAAATGAACTTGATAAATGCTTCCGGGGTTCACTACGACTGATCCGTAGAAGTACAAACCAGGAATTTTTGAAACAAAATGCCTCTATTCGAGAATCAAAGGTTGGAGGTAGATGGCACAAAAACAAATTTTTGCCTTTTGGCGCCTTTTTGGGTCTTATTATTTTTAAACTTTGAATATACGCAGTGCATGTACTAAATTTCATTAAAAATTTTCTATTCACTTGCTAGGTGTATAATATCATTCTGTCTCTCCATATCTCTCTCTCCTCCTCCCACTCTTTTCTCTCCGTGTTTCCTTTGTTGTCTCTCACAGTTTTCTATGTAGCTGCAGTCAAAAAGAACATTTGGAGACCGGAAAAAATAACAAAAAAAGAACGAGGAGCTTCATTGTCTTGCTTTCCGTCTGTGAAAATTGAATTCTTCCATGTTTGAACCTAGCTACCTCTTTGTCAGTACGTCAGGCTTAGCAACCAACCATATCCATATCTTTCGCCTACTCACACATTTTTAATTCAATTTTAGCGACAAAGATATAGTTTTTATCGTAAAAAAACTATTTCTAACATGTGTCTTTTTGTACTTATTCAGCTTTTGTCCATTTGCAGCGAAGTAGTACTAGGGCAGCAGAAGAAGCTCAAGAAGCTCAGACAGCTTGTTCTTATAAACTTCGCTCATATATGTTCAATGATCGCTATTTTTCGTTATTCATCCTTGTTTTTAATAATATTTAAGGACAAAAAGATCATCTATCATTAATAATTATTGTATGTAGCTGATTGAAGAAGCCTAGTGCTGAAAAAAATGCTTTTAGCATGCTGTTACTCAGCTTAACTGATCGAAGTTCATAAGGCTTGTTTGATTTTTGCTCTTGACCCTCTTCTCATTCTCAGATTGTATTCCTTACATGGCGTAGCTTTTCTAATTAATTTTTCTTCAAATTTTGTCTTTTTCGTATGCTTGCACCTATTTATGGCTGCAAACTTATCCTTCTCATGAACATTTCCAAACACAAGGATTTGGCCAAGCTCACAGTAAAGCTCTTTGACTCCTCTGTTTTCTCGTGAAAGTTATCTTTTAAGTTTATTTCCAAAGCTTTGTTCTCAATTTTTTTCTCAAATAAATTTGTTGTCTTCGCCTGCTCAGTATGTCTTTCTAGTCAGCGACAACTTCATATACACACAGTCCTTCCAAGTGATAGCTTCCGCAATGTGTGAGAGTAAGGCAATTTTAATTTTTCATTTGGAAAAAAGTTGGCAATAGAGTTGGTCTATCATAGAAATCCATTCACTTAATAGGAAATGTTGTGATTATCCAAGTTGTTTTCGGCCCATTGTCTTTGGAAAATCCTCAAAATATCGTATTTATGGATAAAACAATCATTTTGTATAGCTCTTGAACAATTTATTTTATTGCTAAGCTATCTTTCCTTTTCTCGCCTAATTTGAATCGAAAAAACATCTGACTTAATTTTTTCATGTGGAAATCATTCTGTTCTGCGACAGCAATGAGGAATGGTTGTGTTTCTTTTCCCTCACTCTTTTTAGCTGCCTTTCTCTTGCTATCTCTCTGTTCTTTCATCATATTCGCTCATCTTGTGCCGAAAAAGGAAGTTTATTATATTTGTTAGAGGAAAAAGCAATGATTTGAAGATTTCAATGTCAACACGAAAATGGGGAAATCTTTTTCGAGAGATACATGTGTCGTCTTATTATATTCATAACTATGACGTCAATAAGCTTATTTCCTCGAATAATTGTCATTAAGTACTCTTTTTCCATTGTGATTAAGCCGTTCTGTGAAATTCAAAATGGAATATTCCACGAGAGATAATAAAACCATCAACTTATATAATACCCAAAGGACAAATGATCTTATGAAACTAAAAAATGCATAAGCACTTCTTCAGTCAATTCGATCTTGTGTACTGTCTTCCTTGCTTCTTCTTCATCATTTCATTTCTAATATGAATATAATCCTTTTTTTTATTGGATATCCTCCGCCATATGCTCATATATATGAACAAACTGCTCATATGTCACATTTATAAGATAAGATTAGATAAAAGCTTTACTTTTCAAAAAATCATTTGTGTTTCGTCTGGAAATGTTACTTCCAGTCACTTTTTCTTCAATTCAAGATTATGATTTTCCTTCTGGATTTTCCTCTCGCAACTTCTGTTTCCGAAAACTTCTTTTTTTTTCACTTCCATTCCACTAAAGCCACACATCAAATTAAGGAGATGCTTTCGATCGAGGTGTTCACTCAAGAAACATCTTATTCATTTACGTAAGCACATGGAAGTCTTCTCGTATTTGTTTCATCGTCTAACATCATTCTAATCTGCATAAACCTACTATCAAACTTTTCCATGAATATCTCTTCAGGTGAAAGAATTCTAATCGAGACTAAGTCTGCCGAGCTCCTCCCTCCGAAAGTTGCCATTCATTTCATTCATTTTTTCAAAATGCCATCTAATTCACACCAACTCTTTGCATCCACTTTTTATTTTAAAAAGATGCTCCATCATTCGTTGATCGTTACATCTCTTTCAACTTTCAAACCCACTTCCGTTAATTACATATGCTCTATAGTTGTATTCATTTATCTAATCGTTGCGTCTTCATAATTCTTCGGATTTTAAAAGCTTGTTTTCGTGACTTTGCTGGAAAACTATTGAATTTTGAAGAAATCTGTATTTGGTGAAACGAGAAGCTTAGAGATTCTATTCCATATGAAGGTACTCGCATGTAATTCCACATATTATGAGCTTATTACTATTTCGCATCTCTTCTCTTCACACATTCTCTAGTCTTCTATTATTTCGAGAAAAGCCTCGATCAAAGTTTTCGAAAAAATAAAATGTGCTCTTAAGAACTTTAGTTTCTCATATCTATTCGCAATTTCATATTACTGTGTATATGCTTGATTTCCAATAAAAAGAACTTGGTTAACGCTTTTTTCGTTTGGAGTTTTGTCTGTTTTTTCTGAATATTTTGTTTTTTTTTAAGAATGCATTCATTGGATGATTTACCAGCATGTCACACTCAGTCAGATGTGGTAGCTCTTATGGTTGATGGATACTTAACAACCACACTTATCATAGGTAAATTAATATTTTAATATTATCAGTCCTTGCGAGGTAAAATGAATAACTCACTTCCAACTTCAATAAATTCCAATGTCATCTGAAAAAAACAACCGTGCACACCAGCTTGAACTCATGAAATGGAATATTCAATATAGAACTCACGTGAACTACTACGTGTGTAAACGCTAATGAAATATTTTGAAAATGTTTTTTGGAAATCACGATGACATCATCAACTTAGCTTCCTATTAAAATTTTTTTTCGTCAAAAATATAATTTCCTCTTAGAAGTTTCATTTTCAAAAAAAAAATTATTTCCAACAATATCAATGAACAATAGTTGATTGAATGTGAAACGTAGTCTTTCTTAACATGGAATTTTCAGGTGGTATATTGGGAAATATGTATTGTTTGCGAATTCTTTATAGAACGTCTATCAACACGGAAATGCTTGTTTCGCTTACAGGTTCGTTCTAAATTGAAATGAATGACAGAATTTCATTGAAATTACTTTTGACATGCTCTCGAAATATTGATTAAATGACTATTAAATTAGAAAATGACATTCTTTTCAGCCTTAGCTGTCTGGGACATGATCCTACTCATGACATCACTTTTTCATCACTCTCTTTGGGCTACATTACATAGCCTAGGATTCTACCCACAACCATGGGATCCTTACATTGTAGCTCTTGGGGGATTACTCGAATGCTCTCACTTAGCTTCGGTTTGTTTTAAAATACACATCAATTACCACTTATTGAATTCTGCATACACAAGAGATTTCTCACCCATTCTAATAATTTATGTATTAAACTTTGAAATTTGAATCAAAATTAATTTTGGAGATGAAAAAATAGGGATTTTTTACAGACTTGGATGCTTCTACATGTTTCTCTTACAAGATTTTTCGCAGTCTCACGTCCTTTTAAAAATTTTGTTGTTTCGTATAGAAAAAGGGGACGGAGAAGCTATTGGAGAATTATAGGAGGTAGGGCCCCCCTTATTTTACTTGAAGAACACAGTCAATTTCTAATCAGGGCTCGTCAGGATTCCATTGTTTCTGACAATAATCGCTTGCCTGATAACTATACCTTGTGCTTTCGAATACAATTTGATGCCGTGCATGTTGGATAATCAAGAATATTTCCAAGTATGAATGACTTCCAATTCATCATTCTGTTTTTTTTACAGAGAGAAGCAACAAAACTGCTGCAGAGCTTTTCCTATTTTTTGTTTTATCGAACAGTCGTTTTATCTCTTCTTAAAACTTTCCTTCCTTTCATTATCATAACTTTCTTAACAGGTAATGAGTGTTCATGAGCTCCTTCCTCTTCAATTATTGTTTTACAGTGAATACTCTGCGCAGTATGAGACAATCTATGGACAAACGTGCCACTATTCTCAAACAACAAGGACAGGGACATCTTTTTGAAGCTGACAAAGACAAAACTAAAAGCCTTCAGGTTCCGAAATCTCCAAAATAACATACTTATACTGTGAAATAGGCTATTTCAACTCTACTATTGGGTAAATTTTTGATCTTGCGCTGTTGGCCAACAGTCATTGCTTGCGCTCGCGTTCTATGGAAAGCAGAGCACTCAACTTTCGTTGCACATGTGGCAGAATTTTTATTACTACTGAACTCAGCCACGAATTCTTTAGTGTTTGTGTTGTTGAAATCAGCATTTGAGACCAGAAGGTGAACTATACTGGGATGTTGGGCCATCCTAATCAACACAATTTCAGACTTCGTCGTATTCGTGAACGGCAAAGAGAATTAGTAGCAAAACATGCAGAACAAGTCCTCTGCATTGGCAAAGCTCTGGCTGGTGATAATCTCTTTCTTATATCCGATGCTGCTCAACAATTAGATGACGATGACCAGAGCAAGCTCCAGATCTCTTCATTAGATTCTTCCGATATGAACAATTCAGTTCAAAAATTGATGAACTAAATATTGTTATTCACCAACTAGCATTTTAACTAGGGAACAATTGCTAGAAATTTTTAGATTTTCTCAAAAATTCCCAGATCTCTACTAATCTTTATTCTTTATCTAACTTCATTCCAGGAATTAAACATATTTACAACCTAATTATAAAAACTCTCAAGTCATTTTACGGGTTTTCACACGTTGTTTTACGGTTCCTTCACTTCGAATCTTATGTTATAAGATGGGAAATAAAAACATTCATTCATGTAGAAACTTGGTTCTATTATAAAATTAAGGTGCGACAAACAAGAAACGGAAGTCTCATCATAAATTGTCATTAACAATACGGGATAAGTAGATTTGCTCTATCGTGAACGAGCGCAATCTGCTGTAGTAATCCACATATCCATTCCTTTACATCATAATAAAACCGTGCATCGAATAAACTTTGAAATTAAATTTCGTTGTACTTCCTAGGAAGGAAATGACAGGAAACAGAGAACACTGACACTCTATTTGAAAAAATAATTTTGTTAGTTCCACATATTTCGGTTCGATTTAATTTCTGCGGAAACAGACGCAACCGTTCTCAATGTCTACATATTGGAAGTGATTCTGAGATTAGCATAAACTACTTTGCATAAGTTGATTAGCATAAATCTGGATCGATATTTCATCAAGCATGCTTAATAAGTTAATGTGCGAAATGGAGAAATTTAAAAGGAAATACACATAATGCGTATGAAAAAGATTATGGATAAGCTTTTCATGAGAGTATGGATATGAAAACTTATTTTAATACATAAGTTGAGCTTCAGAGAGTAATCTACTTTCAATTCACAAACAGCCTACTAACAAAAACTAAGACATGAAGGACGATATTCCAAGATTTCTCTCAGTTGCTTATGAAACAATGATGATCCGCAAAAAAAATATTTCTGGGGTTTAAGACAAATCATGGGAATCTGATTTTAAGAAAAAAAGCAGATAATTGCTATCAATCCAAATAGAAGGCGAAAAACAGGTGAATTTATAAGACTCTGCTAGCAAGTCAACAATAATAACGACAATCCTAAGAGAATGAAAATCGGCAAAAAAGAGTCGTTATTAGACATACTTCTGGGCTGCTTATCTATAATAACATAGTGAACCAATGCTGATGTTGGAAAAAATGATAAGTTAAACATTATGCAGAACCTTATTTAAATGAACTTGAACATTTTCTTCTGAGAACGGAATATATCCTTTTGGAAACTCTCGTTCAAACGAGCGGGTCATTTGCCTGCGTACGCTTTTTCATGTTTTCTCGCAAATACTCAGCCAAGTCACTTCAAAATTTGAGCGCCACCTTATATAAAGACGATCTAATAGTTACAAATTTCTTAAATTACTCGTTTATTGATTAAATTTAGAGTCAGTTACTGGTTAAAGAGGAATTTTAATTACCAAAAAAGCTCATTTGCGTTTTATGTTTTCAACTGAGAAATCGTTTCGAATTTCTCATTGCTCGTCTCATTTATTGACGTTTATAACAGAGGGAGAAAATACTTGAAAATACAATATTCTTTCAGATTCAATTCATATCTCATCTTACTTTTGTATATATTAAGTAAAAATGAATCTTGAGGTAGTCAGAAACTTTCTAAAAAACTTTATTTTGTTTTTGATTAGGTGGGTCTCAATAACGTGTTTTACCCTGCAACGGTACTCAGTTTCGCTCCGGACACCAAGCAAGTAGAAGTAAGCTAAAATTCTTTTTCATCTTCAATTTACCGTTGATTTCGGGTTGCTTATGAGAATAATTGGCGCTCTGTTGAGTTTGTTTCTTGCGATAAATGCCGAATCGTTGGAACTGCCAGGTATTTTGTCCTTATGTCTTGTTAGATCTACTGTTTTGTTTTAGAAATGATAGTTTGCAAACTGGAGAAGTAATTGAAGCGCTGCTAGCTCAAGGTAATGGTAAATGTAGTGGATGGCAGAAAGCTCGTGTTCGAGAAGTCAAGGTTTTTTTCGTTGCCTTTGTATGCAAAAAATGTCTATGTTAAGGGAGGGTTTGTACTCATTGATGTAATTGATGGGCCAAGCAAATCTGATGCTGTATCCTTAGATGATTGTAGAGGATCTCGCACCTCGTACGTCAAAGTGGATTTGACGAAATGCAAAACAGATTCCATACGTAATTTGTGTAATATGTTATGATATAGTTTTTTTGATGGTTTTTAGCTGTGCCTGAAGATCTTGATGCTTATTTTTCTAATCCTGATGGACCAGAGCATTTTGCCGCCAAAGTGAATGATATCCATGTTAAATACAATAAGGTATTTGATATTGATGAATACAGATTCCTGATAACTACTTCTTAGAACAAAAGAACTCTAACTGTAACGACTTTTGTTGAAAAAGCTCTTAGACGAGCCGTTCTTGTCAGTGATATGTACTTCAAAGTGAGTTCTTTTAATTTCAAACTTCTTCAAGCGTTTTGAATATGCAGGATGCTCGAGTAAGGTTAACTTTGAAGCAGAAAGCGGAGGAAGCTCAACGCATGCTTCAATCTACCACCATCACTAACGATGTCAAATTTATTGAAGAGTTCCAGTATGCTGAAATTTCAGAAATCAATTATCAACGTTTATTTATCAGAGTGCCAGCCGAACTGATGGGCCTCGCTATTGGATCTCAAGGATCTAACATCACAACTGCTAGAAAAATCGAAGGTGTTGTTGACATTCAACTAAATGAGCCTCATATCGAAACTATGCCTAGTGTGTTCAAAGTGAGTCTCTTCTAAATTTCTGTTATGACTTTTTTCATTTCTTTTAAAGGTTTATGCGGAAACAGCAGAAGCTGCTGCAGCTGCTAGAAATTTGCTCGAGTATTGTGTTGATACCATTCTGGTTGACCGAGATATGGTTGGTAAGGTAATAGGCAAATCTGGGAAAACTGTGCAGGTTTCGATTGTTTTGTATTCTATGTTAAATTTGCTCGTTCAGAGCATTGTTGACAAATCTGGAGTAGTTAGAGTTCAAATCTCTGGAGGAGATGAAACTCCCGGACAGGAAGAAAAAGTTGACCCGGTTCCGTTTACTTTTACTGGTACTAGGTCAGTTTCAACGCTCAATTGTTAATCAACGGGTTCTTTGTACAGAGAAGCTATAGATAATGCCATGTTTTTGGTTGATTTCCATATTCGTCACTTACGAGATGTGGAGTGTTTGCGAAACGATGTTGACGATTTGCAGAGACAAGCATACAGTCGAAGCTCACCTCCGAATGGTTTGACGGTTTTTCCATCATGAGATATACTCTCGGTTTTGTTTAGGAAGGTTTGAAAAATCTTATCCAGCGGAGAGGGGGTCGTCTTCATCCACATCTTTCCCTCCCCGAAGACGCGGTGGACGTGGCGCCGGCAGATACCCTGACGGAGATCGAAGGTAATTATAATTAAAAAAATGAAAGATGATTGACTAATTTGATGTATACTTAGTTAATGTTCGCTGTTTCAGAGTTTCTGATCGTGGCGATAATGAAGTTGAACCTATCCCTCCCAGAGAATCCACTAGAGGTAGAGGACGTGGTCGTGGATCAGCGAGAGGAATGACACGTGAGTGATTCACATAAGATTCCTTCAATTCTTCGGGTTCAGGACGTGGTGGATATGGTTATTCCAATGGAAACTGAAAGAGTTAGGAAGTTTGACGAGCTATGATGAACATTCAGCGTCTATGGTTTTCCTTTTCGACTTTTCGCGAAGACTCAGTTAATTTTTCCGGCGTGACCGTTTACGTTCAGATTTGGTTTCTTTATAAATGTCATCGTTTTCAAGATTTAGCCTGTTTATGGATCTAATGCTCTTCGTTCATATATTTATATGTATTTTAAGGTTTTATTCATGTTTTACAGCCTAATACTCACGACCTTTCCATCAGAATTGACGACACGAGTGCAGTTTTTTCCATTTACTTGTTGAATCGTTCTTGTTGTTTACTGCTTTAAAACTTCCAAGGATTGAGTATGTCCTGAGAGGTATATGAAGCTTGGGTTTGAGCATCATTCGTATACCGCTCGTTATTCTTTGTGGTTATACTGCAAATGATCTTCGCAGAAGTTGATTTTTTTGTTTTTTTTTCTTTTTTTTCTAGATTTAAGCACTTCTGATTCTCCTTCTGGCTGATAGGCATTGAAAATTTTCTTTTCATCAGTTCCATGATCTTCTTGTCCGTTGAAAAATGGCTGCTTGGCCTAATGTAACACAATATTAGTCGTTATTGCTGAAAAAAACATTGCGTTTAGTTGTTCTATTTATTCTTTTTTGAAGTAAATTATTATATTCTGCTCTTCGTGTGCTATTTAAGGTCAAATACTTCGCGTAAACATAACAGGGCTTGTCCTTTTCAAGATTTTGTTTAACATTTTTTTAGATTCTGTTGTTGACTAACAGTGAGTAGTCGCTTCTTTCATAGGCTCTTCATTGTCTGAATTTCATCTATTATAATTAGATGAGCAGTTACAACAGACACATTGCTGGATTAAGACATATATGGATCGCTAGCCTAACAGTGCTCTCCAGTTTCTTTGTTTTCTCATCACCAAACAATGATGAGCCCTATATATGAAAGCCTTGTGTTCAATTTTTTTAATCGTTTGCAACTGAGGATATTTATACTTCAGTTACTCAGCATGCAATGCTCAGATAATCTTCTATTACGAGATAAATCGACATGAACGCTTCAACTCTTGGCCTTCCATTCATAAGAAGAAGAGATACTCACATTGACGAAAACGCTCTTCAAGTATTTTTTGTGTGGTGATAAATTCATTTTTTTACGACCTAGCATCTGCTTCTGAATGAAGGAGTGTGGAGAAGAGCCTTCAGAGCAGACGGAAGACGGAACCGTTCCAAATGTAATACTGTAGTTGGATATTTACAAGTATGTTAACTATAAAAAATTATTACCAGAGTTTCACAGTTCATATACGAGAAAAGTCATTTGCATTATCTGTTCCCTATCCTTCTTCTCTTCGCATACTCGATCATCGGAGGGTTGATATTTTGGTCCATTGAGAGCTCTCAGGAGGAGGTGGAACTTTATGATAAAGTGGGAATCTATTGGTTCATTATAAATTCTTATAATTACCTTTTCAGCGAACGTTCATACAAAACCTCAAAGATAAATTGCTGCGAAATGTCCTACACATTGACACACGATTAAAAGAATATAACCTTGCTTATCAGTAACACACACATGAGGTTTTTCCTATATATTGATATTTTAAGGAACAATTCGTACGTACGGAAATTGCATTACACTGGTTACAGGAAATACGCACTAAATATGCTGTATAAGGTTTAAAACTAGAATTGATAGAGAGAATTCTCAAAATTTAGACTGTCTATTGGTACACTGTTTCGGTGTTCTATTTAACTGAGCATGAGAGTCACAAAGCCATGACATTGCGTCCTTCAAATCCTGAAACTGCGTGGAAGCAACAATTTAGCAATAATTTCGGTCGTATCAATGCTCTAAAAAATTATACCGACCAGGTACTCATTGCTTGATGAGCTTCGAATCTACAAATACGCAGTACTTGTGATAATTAGAGCTCTTTTGAATCATTTCTATACTTGTACTCAATGGCGGCGGCTGCGTTCAAACCAAGAAAGTTGAATTTATTTCTGATTTGTATTTTTTCAGCTAGCTCTGCGCTGCTGGGAGATAGGATTAGAAGGTGCAGCCAAACATTGGTCAGAAGCGGGCTATAGAACAAAAGCATGTTTTATACTTTTAGTTTAGACTTATTTATCACTGGTTCATTTCAGATTAATCAGTCAATACATGATTATGAAATAGCTGTTGGTTTGAATAATGTACTCACTCCAGTATGGACTTTTTGGAATGCTATGTTCTTAGCAGGTAGTTAGATAAGGCCACAAAATAAAAAGTTAGGTTTAAGCAACAACATATACTACAATTGGTTATGGGAATATCACAGCAAAAACTAAACTAGGGAAGTTAGCAGCAATGGTCAGATTAACAAGTTTTCATGTTGCACCAATAATGTTAAATCCAGGTATATGCGGTAATAGGAATACCTTTATTTCTCATGATACTACACAAACTGGGTAGATTCTTCATGATGGCTCTAGAGCATATATGGGATTGGATTATGCGGTGAGTTACAATACACAGTAACGGAATCATCTTTTTTCTTCAGATGTGCTGAGTATTTATGCTTGGTAAACAGTGAGAGTAGACCCAAGTTGTCGGAAGAGGAACGAATTTCTGAGATGCCCCTTCTTCTCGCTATTGGTTCCCCATTTTGTGTTTCTCATTTGGAATTTCTCTGTTCAGGTGTTGCTTTTGGGTGGATGTTTCTTTGTGCTGCTATATTTCTACTATTCGAAAAAGATTGGGATTATTTCAAAAGTTTCTACTTCTTCTTTTGTTCATTAACAACTATTGGTTATGGCAAGATCATTTTCTTTGCGTACTTTTAATCGTTCGAACATAAATATTTAGGCGATGTAACTCCAACCAATAGCGAAGACATGTTTATAATTTTTGCACTAATTCTCATCGGTCTTTCATTAGTTTCAATGTGTATTAATGTAATTCAAGTGAAGCTGGAGAAGCTCTTCGAGGTTGTTGACATATGGAGATAATTTAATACATTTTTGTATTAAGGAACTGCTATTGACATTAATGGAAGAATATAATTCAGATCCAGAGTCTAACACATTGAACTCAGGAAAGATAGGTGAGATTAAAAAAACGTGAGACCCAATACAACATGTTTTTTAAAGGTATGATGGAGATGTGGAGGATGTGGAAGCGTCGAAAGGATAGGTTACGTGGTTTAGCTCCAGCCAGAGATGCTGCAGGGAAGGCATCTCAAAACTTGGCAAAAGTCCTCTACAGGATCCTCTATACGTGAACAATAGCTTTCATTGCATTTGTAGGTTTTGCCTTTCGCTCGTTTGTGGGACAGACATCAGCTTATTGAGGAATTGCATCACCGCTTGAGACAGGTAAGATTTTTTTTTAAACATTCCCTAAGCCTCCCAACGAATTCTTAGAAAAATCGCAGTACCCAAACCGATCCATATCCTGTATACATACCAGTTTATGAAGAAGCCTGGACAGAGACAAGTGATATTGATAGTTGCAAGTCGTGTAAGTCAAAAGAAGTAGTGACAGGAAACAAACGGTTTCCTGCAGACGACACAGGACAAAACTTCTTAATGCTTCCTGAGAACTCTATGTGTATGCCATCCCGTTGTGAATCGCGACCTGTTGTAGTACAGGTGAGGACTCAGTTTCAATTATTGTGTTGGATGAATTCTAGGCTGAAAACTCTTATATATCATCATCTTCTCTGTTGCCAACTTCTATGTCAGGTAATCAAAGTTTACCACAAAGCGCTCCTAGCCAAATGTCAAAAATGTAAGAGCCTATCGAGAACTAAAAAAATCTCCTTTTTTTTTATTACAGATCATCTTTATCTACTTTGTCTAGTCGTAATACAGCATATTCCACAAAAAGTGCACCTTGTCCTTCTCCTAGTCGGTTTCCAATTGATTATGACCCCCACCGCAGGTGGACATTTGTTGGCAGCAATAGAGTGAGAATTTTAAGACTTTGCTGAATAGAAATAATCATATATTCCAGTCACAACGAGGTACACCGCGAGGACTTGTAGTTAATTACATGTATATGAAAAATCAGAGTGCTCGACGGGTAATGCTATTTCTCAATTATCACTCCTTATGTAATAATATTGATCTCATTTGATGTATGGTGTCTAAGGCGTGTCTTGAAAATACGAGATTTACAAGAATTCTATTTTGAAGGAAAATCAATTCATTGCAGGGATCTCTGGTACCAACAACAGAAATGCGTCGGCTTATTGCTGAGCTGGACACAAGGCTTCAGGATTGTCGTTACATTAATACACCTGGAAGTTCTCTGATAGGATCAGCTAGCAGTGAAGCATCAGTATTCAAATGACAATTAGCCAGGGGAGAGTCAGCTTTATCAGTACGAACACGTCCACTTTACGTAGTTCCTGAGTAGTCCTGCTATTGTTCATTTATATGCCTAAGCAGAAATGTATAGAAACCCTATCCAATGAAATAAACTTTCAGGCTAGAGCTTTTCCAGTTTTTGTATTTGCACTAACTATAAATTTGTTTATTATATTCATAATGTGATTCTCCCCTGTAATTAGCCGTTATATATTGAACTAGAAGCATTCACTGAATCTTGTCCATTGATCTCGGAATTCCATATCTTGTTTGTATTTCATGAAACAGAAACTATTTAACAATTGTGATTTCAAGTCTTATAATTATGTGATGCATCATAGGTAGAATTTTTTTTTAGTAAACTATAACTATTTTGTATTTTATATATATAGGAAGTCGTTATGATCAAAAGATTTCAAATAAGTATTGGTAAAGACAACAGTATTTCTTCCCAAACGTTAACAGAGTAGTCATGTTCTTGCACTTTAGAGCAAACCGTGGAACGGGCATGTTTTTTTTTCCACAAAAACGTAATTGTTGTCTACATTGAAATATTTCAAAACCAATCTTTCGAAATGTTTCATCAACAAAAACAATAAGCTGAGCTGAGCTTCATAATCAAAGGAATTGTTTTATTCGTTCATTTCACGTACAATTTTTGTTCAAACGTCTGTGCTCCTGTTCGAAGGCAATCTTGTTATCAAACAAGTTTTTGCTCATTAAGGTTTTGCATGGATGGCTTCTTTTCGAAAAAAAAAGACGTAGAAAATGATGGCGAAAGTGGGAAGAACATTGACATGGATAGATTATCTTTTACGAGGTAAAATTAGTTCGTTCACCCATACACGTTTGATTTCAGCTTTCATGAATCAACGGATGAAGATTTGTATATGTCCGTCCAGCAGAGTCCTTGCCAATCAAGCTTAAGCGTTTATGAAAGCACTTCTCTCTTTATGACATGTGAGCACAAGTTAGTTACTACTCGTACTGCTATTCCATAACTTTTTTTTGAAGAAATGAAGAACAAAGCTGCTGCGATTCATTATCTGCTTTTTCTCGCCTAGAACTCGACGCTACTGCTTGCTATTCTTCAGAAGACCCCATAAATGATGCTATAGATCTTGAAACACAAGATGAGTTAAAGGTATTTATGAGGCAGTTTGTATCAATATCTTTCTTTTTTTTTAAGAATTTTACAGCTTCTCTCCCCGATCCATCGTCTATGCCGAAACTTCCTAGAATTATCGGAGATAGGCCATATTGGGTAGAATATCAAGACTGGCTTCGTTGCTTACGGAATGCGGATGCTGAAGTGTCGAAAGATATGGAAGAAGTATTATTTTATATTCTTCTAACGTTTAACTTGTTGATGCTTTTAGCTAAACATCAGTATATACTCTTCCTCTCTTGCTTTGCGAGCTTTAGAGGAGACCCGTTGGTTCAATGAAGTGTCCAAAGATCCAGAACTGTCCAAACTAATACATGACGTGAGTTATTTTTGTAAGTTCTCAAAAACTTTCCTCGAAAATCAGATTGACTCTATATTCCCGATCGCCATGAGGAGAAAGTCTTTTAGCAGCATTAACGAAGTTTTAGAACAAAGCCTACCTATTTCTTATGATTTAGTAGTTCGCCATACAGATAATTCAACTTTTTATCTTCCTAAGTCTGTAGCTCTGCTTTTTTTTTATAAGTTTCGATTTATAGTGTGCCTATTGAATCTACTGTCCGCAGCTCTCTGAATGGTGTTGATGATATTATCTTACGTAGGAAAACTAATCCCTACTGGTACAATTTGGCATCGCTTGCTCTTCACAGGTGGCTCATAGTCTGATTTTCTGTTAGTATCTGGTTCTGTAGAGCGTTCACGAAAGATTCGGTTAGAGATCCTCGAATGGAGATTTGGATCAATGATCTCACTGAGAACTATGCTCAGGTAAAAGTTGAACCTCTATCATGGTGCTATTCTTGTTCAGGCCTTAAGCCTTCCTTCTTCATCCAACCATAATTCTGAGATCATTTGTAATGGGCAGGTAGTTCATTTACGAGGTTGTGAAGATTGGGCTCCACCTCGAGATGCTTGGATTTTCACACCTTTGAAAGTTGAACCGTGAGTATCACTTATTGGTATAGCTGTTTGATCCGAGCCTTTTGCAGTGTTAAAACTCTATTGGAACAGCAGAAGTACCGTTGTGCTGGTTGTGGTGTGAAAATCGATCAACAATACTTGAAGCGTGTTCGGTATAGCCTTGAGAATTTTTGGGAAACTCATAATTACATCTCTACAGACTCTGTGAATATTATTGCAAAGTGTTTTGCCAATGTTGTCATCAGGGACTAAAATCAGTTATTCCTTCGAAGATCCTCAACATGTGGAACTTCAAGTTCTATTTTATTCCTAAAATGCTTTTTACTGTTCGAATTTTCTAGGGAATTCCCCGTCTCTGATAGAGCCTATCGATTCTTGAAAGATGCGCGTGATCAGCCGGCTATTCATATTCAAACTTTGGCTCCTGATTTGGTAAGCTCTACCTCGTAACTGTAAAAATTTCTTCGAAATGATTCAGATTTCTAAAATATCTGTTCTTCGGAAAGTTATACAAATGAGAGAGAAGCTGGGACATATGTGGGAGTTCATTAAGCTGTGCAGTATAGCCGAAGAAACAATAACTAAATTCGGAAAGTATGTTCAAACAAGAGGACAGTATTCATATTTCTTCCTGCAGTCTGAAAACGTTATTTACATCTATGGAAAGGCATCTACTTGTTTCAAGTGACCTTTTTTCGCTCTCTGATTTGACTAGAGTATATAACAAAGATCTTGTTAGCTTGTTGGAGCCTATTGTCTATTATGGAAAATGTCATATCGAAAGCTGCTCAGTATGTATTTATATCTCATAATCTCCAACGATACGTTTTTTAGATATGTAAGGAGTTGGCTTTTGTTTGCTGTCTCTGTTCTGATGCGACTGATCTTCTTTTCCCTTTTCAAATTGAAAAGGTTAATAGGTGTCGAGCTTGTGGATCTTTATCACATTTAAAGTTAATATAATGTTCATTACATTCTTCATTTACAATATTAAGATGTCATCAGAAGCTGAAGAAAACAATGCCAAACAAAGCCTCATGCCCTAAATGCACTAGAATTGAAAATCAAAGGTAAACATTTCTATTTCTTTCTATAAGACAGCTGTATTTTTTCAGAAGACAGAAGCTAGCTCAAATTGGGGACTCATGATTTTCTTATGAATCTATTGTTTAATAAGATTTTGGAACTTATACCACGGGTCAAGCTTTCAGTAATCTCGTGTTTTAGTGATATTTCAAACTTTGCAAGTGATAACCTGTGATATATCTGTGATACGATGTACATCATTTTCTGCGTCTCATTTTTATAGAGAAACTTCGAACGTTTAAAGTTTATAATAACTATGTTATTTATGACTTCGATAGGTTCCAAGCCTTTGTTTCTCTTTCGTTTCTAGCTGTGACATATAATAACTCAACAGTTTCGAGGCCATCAATGCAAACAACCCCAATCGATGCGTTGGCTGAAACAGGTACATATCTCTATGGAGTTGCTCTTCATCAAAACATGCTTCAGAGCAATGTGTTGTTTGTGGTGATCAAGCAGACGGATTTCATTACGGTGTCAGATCGTGCAGAGGCTGCAATGCTTTCTTCCGGAGATCTATAACCTATGACATGACCTTCACATGTAGAAGAGGAGGGAAGTGCCCTGTTGATAAAAGTACGTTACGTTAAAGTTCGGTTTTATCTTCAACCTGTGGTTTTAGATGCTCGTTGTGCTTGCCGAGCTTGCAGATTAGCAAAATGTTTTTCTGTTGGAATGGATCGAAGAGGTAGGTGGTACTTTTGCCACCAATACAATTTACTTTTCAGCTGTACAACCGAAAAAGGAGCCAGCTGGTGGTGTGGTAGACCCTGGGGACACTTCTCCCATGGAATCAAGCAGAAAGTTCTCTTCGGTATATACTCATTTTCTTCAACTGTACAGTTGATTGAGCAGATGTTTGTTCCGGCTCTTCCACCCTCTCCGCCGCCAAATTCTGGAGTAATCTCCAGACTATGCTATGATTTTTCCGAACAGAAGAAAAGAAGGCGATATCTCTTATGTGGATCTCTCGTTGAAATTTTAAACGAATCAACGGTCAGTCTTCCTGTAGTTTTCAGATCTAACATACGCTCTTAAGGATAATACTTTGAAAGGACCGGCCTGTGGAGACGATTACATTAAGCTATTTCAAGTTCAAATGGTTTTGATGTTCGAATGGGTAGAAAAATTGGATGAATTCAGGAGGTTGATGGATTCTTCTGATAAAGTAAGTTCGATTGAACTAGGAAGAAATCTTACTTATTCGTCCTTCAAGACAAAGTTGCTGAGGGCATTTGCACTACGTTATCTGCTCTTGGATAATTTATTCCATACGCTAGAGTTGGGCTATTCGGACAGAGTTATTCTCGTTAATAATAGCTTCATCAAACCTGGTGATTATCCCAGTTTCGATCCCAATGAAACAGCTGATGCAACTCAAGTGAAGCTATTGTTTGTCGGAAGTGTTGCCAGGGTTTTAATACGATTTTCTTTAGAATGTATGGCAACGAGAGTAGTCAACTTATCAATGATCTTTTATTACCTCTCCATAATTTAAAAATATCAGTAGGGGAGCTCATGTGCTTGAGAATCATAATGCTATGGAACTCTGGTCCAATAGGATTATCTCCACATGGTTGTTCAGTGGCTCATGAGGTTGTTTTTTTCCATAATACTTTATACTAAGTCTTTTTAGGCATCGAACGCTGTAATTAAAGAGCTTCACAATTATTATGAGTTGGAAGGTGTGAGGGATATCCAACAGAGAATTGGAAACATCCTGATTCTTTTGCCCATAATTACGGTTAGTTCAAAAATCTTCGCGCATAATTGGGTGCATCAAATTCTAGAAACATGTACAACTTTTGTATAATACAGTCAAACTGATACCCTGTTTTGGTCAGATGAATGAATGGGATTCATTCATGGATGATTTGCTGAAGGGCTTTTGAGCTCATAATATTGTTTTTTTTATCTCATCATTTGTACATAGCTAGAATCCATTAGTTCCAATAGTTTCAAAAAAGCTGAACATTCCAAAAATTATTAAAGTTTAATAAGATTTTTATGTTTGTAGATATCTATCAATCGAGCTATCCCAACAATAAATGTCACATCCACTTGTCCTTATTCCGCGTTTACTTACTCTAATTTCTATCTGTCAAAGACTCGTCCCATTTTTCTCCAACTTTTCCGGCTTAGTTTCTTCATTACACATGTATGGTGGAGGATGATCCTATTATCTTAAGTCTAACGAGTTTTATAAAACTAGCAGCTTTGCATATTCATACCTAATGAGCTTTTTTTAAAGAAAGGAACATTAAGTCTATTACTCCAATTTTAACACTATTCGATCTTCAATAGTCTAAGCTTGTGTTTCATGTGCGCTTGCAAAATATTCTCTGATCATGGGCATAGATTTCTCCATATAACGGCTCCATTGACGCATTTCATGAGCAACTTCTAAAATTTCAATTCTACTCTTCAGATTATTCTGTGGTGAGTGTCCAAAAAGGAAATCTATTATGATGATGATTTCATTTTGGATCTATTCCGGGAATAAAAGTAACCCAAACGCGTTTCTGAAATGTTTAGAGTTTGCGCGGCAAAAAACTCAAATTTACTGAATTATTCCCAGTTTTCAAAAGTCATTTACTATACGTGATCGAAAGAACACTCATTCAGCTTACTTTGCACTTACTTCATATTCTCCTATGTAAATTTCTCACATGTTCGAAAAGAAAGGATCTGCAGGTAGAATTCACCTGTTGTTCTTTTCGGCTTTTTTGTCGTGATGAAGAATAAATTATCATTTTGCATTACTTTTGCTTGAGCAATTTATTTTTTCTTCACTGAAATTTCCTCTTTCTTCAGATTTCTCTTATTCATATTTCATGAAACTTATCATGATATTATGTTTCTTCGGAAAGGCCAGAGCAAAAGTGTCTTGTCAAACGGTTTCAGTTTTCTGGGCCGCAGATCTTGCACGTTTTTTCATCCCACATTCCCGTCATGATGCTCTTTGGTTCGGTTTTATTACCATATTCTTTTATTCTGTTCTTTCGTTGCTAGATTATACTCATGTAATTGACTGATGCTCCGCTTAGCATATTCCACGTGATCGCCTCAAGTGAGTACGCTACGTGAAGCTCATTGAATAGGCAAAGTCATTTGTAACTAATACTGTCATAGAAAACGGTTGCGTTCTATTTTTGAATTTTTTTTCACGATAAATACGTATATCGTTATGTTATAGTTTAAATGACGTTTAGGGGTCTAATTGTAGCTTGCAATGATATTTCCATTTTTCCACTGACCAAGCCTTGAATTTTGCTTTTTCATCTAATTAAGTGTTAAATGAGCATATAGAGCTAGGTTATTAATGTTTACCGAAAACCGAAATAATTGTATATAATTTATCAAGCGATTATTGTTTTTTTTTGAAATTCAAACATCTGCGATCTCTAAGTGCGCTAAATCTTCCTTGTTTTTGTTTGCTCTTCTCATTCAGAACCTTAAGATTAATTATTTTTGAGATGATTAGATGTAGAAGTATGTGACTATGACTGTGTTATAGAATGTTCAGAATCTAGTAAACAATCTGTTGTTCTCGTGTCTATCGCATAATTTTCGTTTGATGAAAGTGATATGAATACAGCTCTCATTTCCATATTCAGGATGATTTGAAAAATTAATTTCCTTTCAATACTGTTTTTCCGTCGTTGTCCGACACTGAGTGGAAGTTTTCATGTATCTATACACATTTTCTATGCATAAACTGTAATTGCTACTTCTTCCTATTAACTCAACTCGAAATTGATGCATATGAGAGCAAATATGAGAGTAATTTTTGGAACAAGTAGTTTCTCTCAGCTTTCCGTACTCCAAACGAATTTCAAGTTGGGACTTTGATTTGTTTTCTTTCAGTTTTATCTCGCCCCGTTTCTTCGAAATTCATAACTTTATAGATATATTCATGATTTATTCGTTGTTCTAATCATAGCTCGCAGCTGCAGCTTTTTGTCGTAAAATATATTGTTGAAGGCTGTTTCAACCTTTTTGGTCAAACCATCTTTAATATTTACTATTGTCAACTTAGCATGCAGCCACGTTTATCACAGCTGTTCAATCTTCATTCAAATTTGATTTAGAGAGGATGAATGTGAAAAAGCCTAACATCTTGAGAAATTTGATGAATTAATTCCATGAATCTCTTGTCTCAAATATCTATCATTCGCTTACTATTTTCTCTCGAAGCTTCATACATGCACACAATCTGTGTGCCTGTCTGTTGAAAAATGTTGTCCTTTCGGCTCAAATGTCGGTTCTCCCAGAGATAGCATCGACGATTTTCACATTGTCATCGACTGTGCTCCGAATCTGCGCGTTGTTAAAAGCTGATCTAAGCTCCGTCATTATATCTTTCCTTATTAGGCTAAGTAAATACTTTGTTGTATTTGCGAAGTTGAATAGAAAATTAAATTTTAGACTCTCCAAACTATCAATTCTAATCGCAGTGCGTTGGCTTTCCAATTTATTTCCATAATAGTAGCCAATCAGTGAAAAGCCACTTAAAACAGATAACTGGCACAGTTTTGGACGTCCTCAATTCATATTCGTGCTGTTTTCTAGTCTGTCCCCCCCCCTTCCTTCCTGCAGCATCTCTGCATTTTATGATAGCTTCTCTTCGATCTCGATTAAATGATGGATTCTGGTACAGTGATTCACCGTAGCCAACTGAAAATGGACATCAATGGCACGCTCTGTTTGGAAAATGGTATACCTACAATCACTAGCTGGCCTTATCGCTTAGCCATACTGATTCACATCTTCTTAACTTTCTCATCACTTGTATTTATGATGGTTGCATTCTTTTATCTCAGGAAACGTCTTTATTTTCACAAAAACATAACGGTATGTCGGTTCTTTCCTCGGTATGATTAAATTATTTTTGTTCAGATTTTGATTGTCTTCATGTTCGTGTCCGCTTCGGTGCTCTCCTTACAAATGCTTGTCATGGAGGTAAGCTATCATTATTTTGCTGTTCCGCCGTCTTCATGAAATTCTTCACAATATTTCAATTATAAGTGAGGGTGGAAAATGTGCATCTCTCAACTCCACCACTGGTAGTTTTTGATTTAAAATTGTTGAAAACCCCATGATGCCACATATGGGTGACGTTTTAAGCTATTTTTGGAGATTTGCTGAAGCGACCCTTTGTTGATTTTTCGATTTCAGTGTCGACACATCTTCATCTCTTGGTTTTATAAACATCCTTGCGATGTATACGTACCTGCCGAAGATTGTTTCCCCTACCTACTATTGAATTCGGTCGCTATAGGCTGTATGACGGGTGCTCAGGTACAAAGTTTATGAAACCATTAACATACACAATTCTGTCAGGTATGCATGGTGATAGAAAGAATGATAGCTACCTATCTTATGAAGAAGTATCAGAAGTTTGGAGGAGAATTAGGTACAATACTCGTCGTTTGCACGGTATCTCCTTTTTTACGCAATTCTGATAGTTTGAAACTAATAGACAATGATCTTCGTATGGCTAACATACGAAACCTTCTGGCCCGGCCCAAGTGAAGATTACTACTTGACGTGTATTTCTATCCCGAAGGAATCTGCTGTCAAAGCGAATAGAAATTTCATAATTCTCATATCTTTGAATCTTATGTGCATTATTAGTCTGATTCTTCTTAATGCTATTAATAGACCCTACCGGAAGAGGTGCAAAATTCATCTGTAAACAAAAACACTTGCGCTTTTTCAGATTACGATTCAACTTGGCTGATCGATACCAAGTTGAGGAAAATCTAAATACGACGCAGTATATCTGTACAATAGTCATAGTCCAGTTTGTTATCTTGACTTTTTACGGTACAGGAACATTACTACTACGCACGTTCAAAGCTAAATTTGAGCCAATTTTCCATCGTCAACTAATCATGTTTGTATATGTTAGATTTTCAAAATCGTTCTTTTTTTCAATGTTTCTAATTCAGGTCGTACCCTTCTTCACCTGTATACTGCCTATTCTTATGATATACATAGTCAAACAAGGCGTCGAGAGAAGAAACAGGAACATTAACAAGATGGTATCTCATGCGGCTACGGGAACGCATGGTCGAGATAATTACTTCCATGAATTGCTGAAACAATGGTCATAAAAGAAGCTTAAACCTGAATTACTTTATTAGGTGACATAAACTTCAAAATATGTATAATACAGAGCAATGATTATGAAGTTATTAACCATGACAGTGCTAAGAGATATCGTAAAATATCAACAACATAATGACTAGACATCAACAGACCAGAGAAAGAAGCCTATACACTTCACACAGACAGCACCGCAAAATTCCTAAGCGAAACTACAATTTGCTTAATTACATAAATCTTCCACATACTAAATTTCCTGAATTGCATGAATCACTAACAGAGAATGGCAAGAATTAGAGAAAAGTGAATTAGCTCTAGAAGAGAAAGCCCATATTCGCACAAGTGTTACATGTACTTCTCCATTTCGTTATATAGAGCTAATACAAGAGCAGCTCCTGTTCCTCTCATAGCATTCACCATAGCTCCATGATAGAAAGCTTTCCAACCTTCATTCACCCAAATGTTCTACAAATATTTGGAATATTAGAAGAAAGTTTTAACTCACTTTAGCACATGCAATCGTTCCGAAAGGTTTATTCTGTTTTTTTCCAGCAGTCATCATGATTCTCCTTCGAACTGTATCCCATGGGTAAGAGATCATCGCACTAATGAGAGTAACAACCTAGGAACCTTTAGAGAATCGGAGAAAACTTTAATGAAAACCTGTCCCACAGCAAAGGCTCTCCAAAAACTCAGCACTCCATCTTCAGTTGAGAAATACGGATGTGCTGTATCAAAAAGCCCATAGTACGACCCGCGATACATAAAAATATACTGCAAGGAAGGTAAGAGACCTCTGAAAACGGTCGTTGAATACTTCTTCATATAACAAGAAACGAACTTATAGAGTCCGAAAAATCCATCGTGTCGAACAATTTTCCGCATACAGTCGAACATTCCTTTGAACTCACGATCCTAATAATTTTTGTATAGAAAGAAGTAAGCTCATAAACGAAACTTTTTTATCCTTTCCTAAATCAATGGCTAAGCGTGTACGCACGAAATCCAACGGATAAATGAACATGAATGTGGCGACACCTGCGCCACCACCAGCAAGTAGATTACCTTCAAAGACTCACATGTAATACAATACCAATAGCATCAGTTTGTTACCAACTAAAAACCTTGTCTGATTATTGGTAGCATCCACACCGTCCAAGCTCCATTTCTTGAAGAGATCTTTGAAAGCAAATCCTAGAGACTCCTAAATTGAAACATAACTAGAATGAACAAACATTTGATTACTTGTCCACATGCTCGTAATATATTAACCCAATTCCCTCTCCAAAAAGAAAAAAATCCTTGTTCCTTTGGAACCCTAATAAAGCAATCCAGCATCCCTTTATACCGATGTTTGACATCGAGTGTTGTTTGAGCATTTTGTAACTACAATAAAAACAATTTAATGATAAACTGGGGCATTCGCAACCTGTAATATCAATTTCACTCTTTCGACAGGAGCTATCACTGTCTTAGCAACCACAGCAGCCGATGCACCCGCAGCAAAATCCTTAGAGAACTTTTTGACTCTTTCTTTGACATCTATTGTTTGAAAAGATCTAGTTCGAAACATTAGTTGAACTCACCATCATTCAAAAATTGGTTTGAGCCTACACTAACTTCCATGGAGTAAACGTAGACCAGCGCTCATAGACAGCAGTTTCACAATGTGTGGAACACAAGTAGTCAGAGACACAGACCTTTAATTTCGGATCTCAACAGATATGTAACATTTCGTTGCGTTGCGCATAGCAAAATGCAACTCGAACATAAGATTCTATTGTTTACGTTTTCTATTTGTTAAATATTCGTTGAAAGCTGTACGCCGGTTGAATTTCATACCATTCCTAGGAAACTTCAGCATCTGAGGGCTACGTTATACAGTTCCAAAATGTGCAAGAGTTATCAGAACTGAAACATATTGTAGCAACACCATCAACTTTGTGTTCATCATTGCATTGTTTCCTATGGTTCCATAGTTTTTTTAATGTGCAAATATTTTTTGTAAAACTACCGTTCTCATTACTCAATCACGCATTCAGTCACATTTCAAATTCTTCACATTACAATATTTCAAATAGTTCCCCTTATATTTACAACTTATGATTGCTGCAATAAATATATTTTTACTCACGAAACACGAATGCATAATGGAATTAGAAGGGTTTATGGTAGAAGAGATTATTACAATTTGGTCTCGTGCGGATTTCAAAGCTTGAAGTGTTAATGAAGAAGATTATCAATTTTCTTAATTAATCGGTTAGTTGAAGATTACTCCGATAGCGGGTGATGTGAATGTAAATTCTGGAAGAGTTTTAGTCAGTTTGTATGATAGGCTAAGGGCGGTAGCGACATCCTAGAAGTTATAGGCAGAGTTAAAGTTCAGAGATCTAATCGTTTCAGAAGAAAGGGCTTTATTAGAAAAAAGCTTTATGAACGACATCGCAAATGTATTGTCAAATCATTTGGTACGAAGGCGTTAGGTCCTTGATGCTTATGGACCACCAGGTCAGAATTGGTTTTCGAAAAACTAGATGTAATGTCATTATAGGTCTCGGATCCTTTTTTGAAACTTCAAAATTCTGATGAAATGGACAATTTCAATAGGACCGTACTGATACCAATTGCCTGATTATGGAATGCTGGACAGACAGACAGTTTTTTTCGGTTTATACTGTCGCTTCATTCTGTAAATGCCAATGGTCATTCTCATAAGTAAAATGAGTGTTATGAAATATAATATAGTCTCTTTCAATTTCACTTTACTGAGTTGTTCAAAAAAGAGTTTTTTTTCTACGTATCACATTTTCATCGGTTATTTTACCTCTTAGTACTTTTCATGCTTTCTACGTAATTATACAAAACCACAGCTCAAACTGTGTATTGTTTGCGACTTTTTTCATTTGTTCGTTTTTCTCCACGGTTTCTGATAGTTATTATACGCAGCGGAATCATTTCAGGAAAGAACGAAGCTGAAATAATAATTGATAGGAATCGTAAAACGATTTTAATCAAAATGAGTTGAGATGAGTCTTTATTCATCGGATGTACGTCTTATTTTAGATAGTGATCAAGCTGAACAACGAATGGGTGCTTTGTACAGTGTGCCTGTAAGATTGGTATTACATGGCTATTGTATTTGTTTTTTCAGTGTCCTTGTTGCAACATCTCTCTAGAGTTAGTTTGTTATTCTTCCGGGCTTCATAAGATATTGCCTACTCAGCGTAAGAGTGTATCATATTTTAGAAAATGTTGTACTTTTTAGCAGATCGCCCTGCTATGGTTCCGATAGCAGTGGCTCCAGCTCCAGCTCCAGCTCCAGCTCCAGCTCCAGCTCCAGCTCCAGCTCCTGTTCCCCTCCCGACTTCAACTTTTGCTTCTACCAACATTCCCAATTCAAGTAGAAATCTGGCTTCAGCTTCTGATTCTTTCCATTCATCAACACTTAATCGTCCTATTTCTCATCATAGCTTCACATCTCCTGGTCCTCATTTGAAAAGTGCCATAGCGAACTTCGAGAAAATACGTTTGCCAAGTGAAGAGAATTCAAAATTCAATCATTCTTATGATTCAAGGAAGGTGCATATGTTCTGAGTTTTGATATATATATAATTCGATTCATTTCCAGAGTAATTATCAATGTCGTGATGGTAACAGAAGTAAAAGAAATGATACGGGTAGGCAGTTAGGATCGTCCATTCAATCTAGAAACAATGATTATTTCGGCGACCTGGCTTTTGTCCAAAATAACTACAGTTTTTTCAGGCTGGGGAGCTGAGAAAGTCGACTGGCCGACCAGCGGAAGTATTGTGTGATGTGACAAAACTTTTTAGATAGAATTTTTAGATGTCAGAGTTGATTCTAGAAAAGGAGATGCTCGCGATAATAGAACATATGAAAAAGTGTCAGTACCCACAGCAGAAACCATTTGGGAAAGTACTAAGTGTGAGCAGTATAAGTTTGATGGAGGTTGTCGTTTACTCAACGATAAAGAGAACTTTCCGGATGGATTCGAAGTATATGATAAACGTATTGAACGAAGTCGCTCTTGCAATGAAGTTGATAGGTTAATTGAGTGAGAGATTTTCAACATGATATTTTCGATTTCAGAGAAAACCCAGAAACAGCTTCAAAGGCAAGAAAGTTGTATTATTGAACAACTCTTTAACTTCATCTTCAGAGTTCTGTGAGTCGATGTAATTCGTGTTTATCCGACGCTGATTTATCGGGTGTCACTGAGAATTCGGTAGAGTCTTGGTATGCTTCATTCAAGAAGCAAAGCGCAGATTGTGAATGGGATCGAGGATTTGTTATAGCTTTCCATAAGACTTCTAAGAATCATTTCATCGGAGTATGATTTCAATGTGGATTTTAGTATTGAGTTCGTAACAGATAGAGTTGTTGACTGTTCGGAAAGGGCGTCTGTGTATTCCGCTTGCACTCTCCGAGTTAAATGACCTGAAGAAAAGCTTTGTATACAAATACAGATTTCTTCAAGACGAAGGGTTCGAGGTGAGAAAACAGTGTTACTTTTAGAGTTTGGAATTTATAGGTCAAACCCGATATCCCACAATATTCTTTCTTGAACGAGCTGGTGGTGAGACGATTAAAAATTATCTCGACTGAGTTTGTTTAGGTTTTACCTCAAAATCAAATATCTGTTGTGGTTCCCGGTCTTGTGTCCTACAGTAACTATTCTCTAGAGGAAATGAAAGCTCGTAAAGAGAAGCTTCACGTTTGGTATCCTCCGCGGACAATTTATAAATCTATGTACTATTTATGCAGGAGCGACAGTGTAGGTTTTTTGAACTTTTCTGTAGATGCTATAGAATATTGGAACTCGAAGAACAATTCCTCAATATTTGAACCACTTTCAATGGTCTCGTTAAGTTTAATGTCGAAATGGCAGAGGTTGGAATAATTTCCGTTGGCTGTACATATAATTTTAGGGATTGCATGACCGATGACAAAGCAAGCAATCCAGAGTGGGATGTTATTAATGTAGAACCTTTGGAAAATTCGAAGGTTGGTCATTTTATCTATAGAACTTATTTTAATGCAGATGAAACGTCACTTGGAAGCATGTTATCCTAAAGAAGTTTTCCGATTTGATGACTTCAAGGTAATTCGAAGGAACGATAAGGTAAACTATGGAGATTCGCATAATAACTTCTTAGTATGTTGAAGAAATTTTCAAATGTACTAGAGTCGAAATCATTCCCCTACTTAACTGTCTCTGCCCATCCGTCCCAGTGCTTGATGGACATTGATCGAGTAAAAATTGGAGATGTCCTCACGGTGAGTCTCCAGGTACTCTTTGGATTGATATCTAAGCTTAGGCTATCGTTGCTCCTCGTTTTGGCTCAAATGAGGTAGTGTGGCAAGCTTTAATTGTTGGGCAAATAGAGGTGACTAAAACTTTTTTTATTTTCACTATGACTTCTCTCAGAGAATTGTTTCTGCTACCAATGATAATATAAGCTTCTTTGCGCCAAAAAATAATATCCCCATCAAGAAAGTTAACTCAAGGATCATTGAATACGTAATGGTTTTTAAATTTCTTCTAGTTATAGTTTTGTTGTAGGTGAAGAATTTTTGAAATTCACAATGAACTCTTTTTTTTTTCGTCACCAACTATTCAAAGTGTGATCACCTATTATTAGAAATCACGGAACAATTGCTCATGTTCTCTCAATAAATTAATTTTGATACATTTTATTGACAATTGTTTCGTTTTATTATACTGATTTTGGCACGAATTAATCAACACTGCTTTTTTCTACCACCTCTATTCAGTTTTCTCTGCTGTACGAAAGATATTTTGCTGACTTTTTGAGCCAGAAGGATGAGTGAGTAGTATCCTAGTACTGCAAGAATGTATCCGAGAAGAAAATGATGAACTGCAAATAGTTCCAATAAAGGATAGATCCAGTATCCATCAACCGCTCTTGTAACTAATATTCTAAATTCAAACCATGTTTTCAGAACGAAGGGTCTGGCAAACTCACATAATGAAGTAAACGGCTACTAAAAACGCAGAAGATATAATATTAGTTCTTCGACTTGATGGTTTATTAGTACCACTCAACATTTCAAATATTAATTGACTTATCGGCAGAGTGTGTGTAACATGGTTCAGCCAGCTTGGAATCAATCTCGCTACCCAAGAAGGCATAACAAGCTCTGGATCGATGTAATAGAGTCCCCAAAACAGAGAGCAGGTAATCTAAGAACTTTTAGTAATTATCTGATTACTTTTTATATACCGTTCCTAGTGGAAATGCAGATGTATAGAACATAAAACTTCGAACAGTATGAAGAGTATTAAAAAAATATCCCAGTGCCGCTATGACCGAGAAAACTGTCAGAAGAACCTACAAAACGGTTGAACAATCTTTTCTCTTCCTCTTCTCAAAACTCACGAAGTTTATATTAGTCAACATGACAAGTTTATAGATGTAGTATTCATGTCCTAATCGCGGTTGATACTTCACATCAAAATATAAAGAGTAACACCAAATGATGGCAAAGATTAGTCTAAACACATGGAGTGTTGTACGCACAGACATTCTAACCTGGAAGAAGAATGAGTTTGTTTAATGAATGTGATAAAATAAACTTTATTCACGAAGAAACATAGACTAGATTCAACAATATATTGATAAATTAAGTAGCTTTCTTCTTGTGAGTTGACTTGCCATGAATGGCTGTATGTAGGCATTCAGTTATTTTATAGTTCATGAACAGAACACTCATGCATGCCACAATAAAGACAGCTCTTAACGGGAGGATCAAGTCGCCCAAGATAGGATAAGCCCAAAATCCAGAAATGTGATGAACTACGTGTATGCTTAATAGAAGAGCAATGTAAACTTGAAAAGAAATCCATAGTTATGTAACATACTCGATTATGTACAAGGTTGCGAAAACCCCAATGGCCTTGATGGCTTTTGGGGCTGCGACATGACCATGATTCCAAATTACAGTGTCAACTATGGCAGTTATCAATGGAAGTGTGTGCTGAAGGGTGTAAAGATCAGATATATTCATGCTTTTTGTATAAATATTGAATACCCACCAACACATTGTTATACCAAACAATACCTATCATTTGTTTAGCAAGATCATCGGCAAGAAGTGTGTTAGGATCAAAAGTGTAAAGAAGCCAGAAAAGTGAAACAACTGTCTGTATATAGCTTTTCTTTTAAATCCTACATAAGACATCATACCATAGCAACAGGTGCCACAATGGCTCTAGAGAGGAAGTGGAAAATTGGATGTTTCCCTCCGAAAACAGAAATAAAAATAGCGATGAAATGATAAAGTATTTGAATATACTAAATAAGGATTTTCTTTAAATTAAATATTTAACTGACCAAATCAATTAGTGTGAGCCAAACAAACTTTGAGAAAAATTGATTGGGTATAGGCAACATTTTTCCTTTAACCATACCATAATCAAAGTAAGCTGTCCCCGCATAGATCAAGAAAGATATCAGATGGAAGACAGTCTTAGTTCCCATTCTTCAAATACTGGAATTAATTATCGAAATTTCGTATTGTTTGAAGAAAAGGGAAGGTTGGAATGAACATGAAAAACAATTGAAAGGAATTCTTATCAATGGCAAAGGTGATAACAAAAGAAATAGAGCAAACACGTGTCTTAATACATTCTACTTTAATAGTAATGTGTTCGAAGTTTGTGAGGACTCAATAATAATAATTATGAAACAGATCAATATCCATGTAGGCCCTGACCTGACCTGGTATGTTCTATGACGCATCGTTAGGCCAAACTACACACAGCGACAAAAAATAATTTCCAAGCAAATTTCCTTATTTTGACTATTTTAAAACTGAGTTTCCTCCTTCAAGTATTTTATGTACAACCACTCAAGCTTTGGAAGCTTTAGAAGATACGCCATTGAATCAAAAGCGCTAACAGAACTCCTGGCGAAGGTTAATGGCGCAAACGCTGTGTGTAAGCATGGGCGGAAATCCAACCAATCTTAAATATTGTTCCACGCTTAAGCTTTAAGTTCAAGCTTTCTATTATTCTCCTAGTTCTCATCTTTTAGTTCTTCACATTCTCACCAACTAATTGCTTAACCTCTTTCTAGATTTAAGTTTAAAAAAATTTACTTGTTGTTGTGATTCAGAATGCTGTCCAGATCTATCAGTACTGTACTAAGATCAGCACCCCAGGCTCTTGCTGCTCAACGTACAGCAGTAACTGCTGCAAAGCCTCAACCGGATATAGGACAAAAGCTGAAGGTTCAATGAACTAGATGCTTTTCATGCTGTATCTGTTTCAGGTTACTATCATTCCTGGTGATGGAGTTGGACCAGAGCTTCTGTATGTAGTTCAAGATATTGTTAAGAACACTGGAATACCACTCGAGTTTGAAGGTAGGGTAATTGAATGGCTTTAACACTTTTGTGCATTTCAGAGGTCTTTCTCTCTGAAGTCCATTATTCCCGTTCTGCCTCAATCGAAAACGCTAAAGAAGCAATCGCTCGCAATAATAATGTTGCTTTGAAAGGTGTTTTTTATTGTGATATTCAACGTATTATTCAATTATTAGGAGCTATTGAGGAATCTGCCATGATCCACACCGAAGGTGAGCTGCAAGGACTTAACATGCGTCTACGACGTGAGCTTGATCTATTCGCCAACGTTGTGCAGATTAAGGTTTGTGTTTCCACTACCGCACATAACCGTGTGATGCCTGCTTGTTCCAAAATCAACACACAGTCGTTTAACTCCATTATTATATTAGAAAAGAGTAGCTCTTCGACGTTTCTGTTGTCGCTATTCTTGATAAAAATTTCCGTTTTTTTCTCTTAGGCTCTGGATGGTATTAAAACTCGTCATGGTAAACCTCTCGATTTCGTCATTGTTCGTGAACAAACAGAAGGCGAATACTCGAGTCTTGAACATGAACTCGTGCCAGGTTGTTTAGGTTATTTCACTGTTCTGTTTATGCTGTAATTTTCCAGGAGTGATTGAATGCTTGAAGATTTCTACAAGACCGAAATGTGAACGAATTGCTAAATACGCTTTCGATTATGCCACCAAATATGGTCGTAAAAAGGTTACGGCTGTACACAAGGCAAACATTATGAAGTTAGGAGATGGACTTTTCCTCAGAACTTGTCAAGAAGTTTTGAAACATTTTGCATGCAAAATAGCAACATTAAATACTTAGGTTGCCAAACGCTATCCGAAGATACAGTTTGATTCTATGATTGTCGATAACACTTGCATGCAAATGGTGAGTAATCCGGAGCAATTTGATGTACTTGTGATGCCAAACTTGTACGGAAACATAATAGATAACTTGGCCGCAGGGTTTGTTGGATATAATGATTCTATTATAATCTTATTTCACTCAAGTTTGGTTGGAGGTGCTGGAGTTGTGACCGGGCAATCCGTGGGAAGTGACTTTGTGATTTTTGAGCCTGGATGTCGTCACTCCTTCCAACAGGCTTTTGGAAGGTATTCTGATTTTTTTCACATGATGTACTCTTCTTGTTTTCAAGAAATATTGCTAATCCAACAGCCATGATTCTCTGCACTGCAAATATGCTCGATCATCTTCATTTGACTGACCATGGAAACGCTTTGAGGAAAGCTGTTGAAAATGTGATCAGAGAGAAAAGAGTGCGCACCCGCGATTTGGGAGGGTTAGTTTTAAAAAAAGTTGTGTGCTAAATATTTAGTTCAAGATACAACACAACCATTGAGTTTGCTGATGCCGTTATTCAGAAGTACAACATCTGAGTGTATGTTGCAGAAAAGATATAGTTTTAGAATATTGTATAGTTTTAAAAGTGCCTTTTTATATGTATATAGTAAGAGTTTTATGGAATTCTGAAATCTTCAATTGGATTTCAATGCTCAAAATGCGTTTTAGATTGCCTTGTTAGTATTGCTGGAACTTGATAATATTAAAGGACATTTAAATGTGCTCTTCAACCATTATGAGGTTTTTTCCTCAAACGTATCTCAATTTTCTTCTATGATTTTGATTCTGATTTCGATCCTAGTATTCATAAGTTTAAACCTGCTTTGTTCCATATTTTATCGGCGCTTGTTCAATGTTACTCTTCTCATCTGCGCTCTAGCTTACTCTCTGCGTCTATACCCAAGAGCGAATATCGGTCTTCGGTCCTACGTCCTAACATGCCTTGCAATAGTATTCTTGATTGTCTATATATTCGATATGGAATCTACTTGTTATTCTCATATTACACCCCTTTTACTGTTTAAGGGAATTAAATGAATGATGAAGATGAGGAGTTTGAAGATGCTCTGGATTCCCTCGAAGCGAGTGTAACTTCTTCAAATGTGCCCCAACCGCGATCAAGCTTAGTGGTATGTTTCTTTATATTTCATTCCTGCTCATCGTACTTTTTTAGCCTTCTGCGGAACATATTAGTCGACCAGATGAGCTATTGTTACCATCTCAAACAAAGTATTCTCCTTCCCGTGGTCCAACTTTTCCGTTCCCTGGACCTCATTCTGTGTCTACACCTCAGGTTTGAACAGAGATAAATCATGGATAAAATGCGGACCCTTTGGTTTAGGATTCAGTAGTTGGTAGCAGCCGTAGAGAACGTTTAACAGCGTTTAGAAATCGCATGAAAGAAGAGTTTGGTGCTAGAGAGTCATTCACCCCAGCAGTTCTCCATGGAGATAGTGATGGAATCAGCATCATTAGTGATACTACAAGTTTGCATTCATGGCATAGACGTGTTCTGGCAGGACCTGAAACTGTTGTAAGTTGAGGAATGTGAGAGTAGCCAACATTTTCAAGCCTTGCAGATTGTCCTACCTTCCGATAGTGTTAGTACTAGGGCGCCGTCAACATCTGGGGCGAATAATAACTCCTTTGGATCACCACTCGAGACAGTGAATAGAATTTGTACCGTTCCAGAAAACAGTTCTATTGATCATTATCCTCAAGTGCTGATTATAATTCGATTGATTATTATCAACTGATTCTAGGAACCTACTCACATTGTACATAAAATGTATAGTCCCAGTTCTATGGTTTCTTCACCTACAGGACCTCCACCAAAACATCCTCCTCCTCCGCTTCCTTCTCGTGAGCGTACAGGATCTGTTGGTTCAAATCTTGAATACAACTGTAAAAAGTCAATTCAGGCTCCTTCCCCTTTGACCGATTTACGAACGCCTCCACCTCTTCCTCCGAGAAATCCATCTATAAGATTGCCTGATCCAGTAGCATCGGAGGTTGTTGCTCGTTTAGCTGCTCTAGAAGATGAAAAGTAAGGGAACGAAACATAAAAGCATGTTTAGTTCTATTTCTAGTAGTCATACTCCTGTCGCAATGACGTCAAGTGATAGCATTTCCAGTCAGGGAGTGTCCAATAAAAGTCAAAGGTACAACGATTCACTATTGGCCCTGGTATCTCCTATTATTCAAAGGGTATCCACTAACTCAAACGACTCCATTAGCTCGATTAGCGAAAACGGAACACGTCGTAGGGGACATAATAAAACTAACTCATTGGATAGAGGTCTCACGCTAGCCAAAACTTTGAAAGTGAGTGTGATCAGCCCTCCTTACATAACGAGCTAACTGTTATAGGCTGGACCCTTCCCTCCTCCATCCAATAAATCAAACTCACTTAAACGCCCAGCAGAAACTGAAGGAGAAGAAGGGGAAAGAAACTCTGCCGCGGCAGGGGTTATAATGCAGATCACAACAGGAATACTACCCGATAAAGTAGGCTCTTATTGTCATCTTAAATTCTTGATCAATATTTGATTAAAGATTCCACCAGAAACTCTTGAACCTATTACGTCCGGCTCTTCTTCAGTTTCTTCACCCAGTTCACATGTTTCAAAAGAGAAGAAAAATGAAACTGAGGCGGAGAGAAGCTCATATATCGATAACTTGAATGCGCATTGTGCCCAAGAAGAGATAATTTCCGAGTTCGAATCTCGAATGCCTTCCACCTCTTTGTCATCATCTATTGATCCGATTACACGTGATGTTGAGAGAAGGATGAGTATGAAACGTGATGGAACACTGAATGATTCAATTTGGTAATGTGGTGTTCAGCTTATTCTGATGTGAACATTGTTTTTCAGTGACGATGGAAGATCTGATACGTTTT